AATACCATATATAAGAATTTCCAAATAGGGTCGATTGTCCCCTTCGCATTGGGCCAGAATATATGAAAGAATGGGTTTAATTGTGTTGTCCGTATTAGTGATGGTCACGCCTGCTTGAGAGGAACACACCTCGTGACCAGTTAGTGGTTCCTCAAGCCGTTTCCCGACTTTCTACAGTTACCACATGTCCGCGTTGTTTCATTCTCTTTTCCACAACGGAAACAATGCTTCCTGAAAGGTTGAGAGCAATCCTGTTTCAGATGCCCAGATTGTCGGCAATTCCAGCATACATTATTCCTCACTAAAGGCGTAAAAGAACTTGAAGGTCGAGCATTACTCTCAGTATGATCACTAGTGATCACAGCCTGAACTTGGACATTACGTGGCCGGTGATACATTAACTCAGGTTCCGTCACTAAATTAGGATTGGTGGGCGGTGGACGCATCCGCTGTGTACGTAACTGAACATTTTCAATTGTTTGTGCAGCAACTTCAAGCTCAGCGATTGAATAAATGGGGTGTAGCGCAAGTTGATTTTGAATAATAGGTAATAAGTTTCTTTTTAGAATTCTTAGTTTAGTATCTTCAGTTGGAGGTTGGGACAACTTCCTGAATAAATTTTGCATTTGAGCAATAAATATTGCAGTTTTCTCGTCTGCTCCTTGGGTTCGATTACGAATATCGCACCAAATATCTTCTTCATATTCCGAGGAAAGATATGTTGTACGAAGTTTGGTTTTGAGTTCCCTCAGCGAATTAATTTCATGACGGACAGATCTATACCAAGACAACGCGTTACCGGTAAATAATACCACCGCACCATGCAAGAGTTGTCTATCTGAAATTCCGCTAGCGTAGCTAAGTTCCTCAACGCGTTCGATGAAATTCGTGACGCTGCCTTGCCCACTAAACTTAAGGTTCCATTTTTGAATGGTATTGAAGCTTCTTGAAAAGTCTTCCAGGGACATGTGATGCAATTGGGGATCTAAAGCTAGTGTGGAATTATGATTTGTAGCTGTTTGTGTAACCGGAAGTTTAGTGGGCAAGGCAGCGTCACGAATTTGGGAAAACGGGGAGCTGTTACAGTTAAATTTTCAACATAGTGATCTTGTCTCATTTAGTATAAACTCACATCGAAATTATCACTACAGAGTAAGGTTAGAATTATTGTTTTCGATCATCAACGGAAGAATGAATTATTTAGGTGAAGCATAAGTTAAAGACTCACCTGACTCTTGTTATTTACATCGATCGCACTAACCCTTCACTCTAATTGTCCGTTCATTTGGTTGCTGGATTAAAATTCGTAGAGTTATTCATTGTTTCTATTATCAATTTTTATTCCTTCATTAGTAATAAATCAATAAATCAATGTCACATGAGTGACGGATTGTGGACAGTTTTGACAATCGATTGTCATCGATCTCGGCATTCTCACCTTGGGAATTAGGTGCCTGAGTCAGGGGCGTATCTATGGATTTTCCTCTAATTATAAGTATAATTGACGAATTTTCCTCATTTAACACTCTACATTCTTCTGGAAGAGCTTGAAGGAGTTCAAACTCTAGTCTCTTAACCTCTTCGTAAGGATAATTACTTCAAATGTACTCAGAAAATCACCCATTATTTCATTTAGGACTGAGACGACTATGTTTTCCAATTTGGCGCGAAATGCTTCGTTTTGGTGGGAATAATTTCGGGGGACGATCGGCTAGGGGCTTCTGGTAAAGAGACTGAGGTGTGTAGATCTATGGTAGCCATTTTTTTTTGAGAGTGAAAATTGTTTTCGACATATTCCACTTAATTATTGTGGGTTCACATTTTCGAAAATATAGCCACTGGAGGACGATATTATCGTACGTTGCTGTAAAGGGAGTAGTTCCTGGAAATATCGTTTTGTTCCTCCTACGATTGATTCGGTTTAAGGCTGAAGGCACGCTGGATCAAAGCCTCTAGTACACTTTCAAAGCCACCTTACACCATCGTGAGTATTTCCTTTTTCATTGTTGTTACTTTTGTTTGTTCTTTTTTTTTTTATGTCCGTGATAATCAGTTGTCACATTCCAATAATCACACATTTCCCATCCGTAGGGCTTTCAAGTACCGGGTTCAAGTACCCCTTCTCAAGCGTCCTAGAGGAATCTGGACTGCGTCAGTACCTCACATCAATTGAGGATATTCTCTTCTACCTGGCCGGTATCTTTTGGATAGAAAAACCCCTTGTGAGAGAGTGAAAAATAAGGGCTTTACTAAGTGGCCAAATTCACCCTATGGGCAGCTTCGGACTTGTACAGCTAAGTGTATCTGGGGATTGGGTTTTCTCATTTATTATTAATTTTGTTGTTTGATGAGCGATAATCTCGGTTATAATAATTATTATTTTGTGTGCATTGCGTGTTTCCAATTATTATCTTAGTGCTTTCAAATAGGTAGCCTGAGGGCTGTATTATCAGACTGTAATTTACGACCAGGCGAACATTGATTCAAGGGAATTATGTATACAACTTAGGTAACCCAAGAGTGATCACCCTTGCGTTAAATCAACCAACCCATAATATGGTTATGTGTTAGGTAATTTATATCATAGTTCATAAACCAATCCTTTGGTGGACACACAGTATTATCTGAATATTCCCTGCATCTTTGTAAAGTCCATCTCCTACTGTGAAGGTTTACAATATCTATTGTTAATTAATCCTTCGTAAAAAGTGAATTAAAGGGACAGAAATCCAACAATTATTGTATGATTGCTGGAAAATGAATAAACATATAGTGACAACTAATACACGGCTGACTAGCGGGCTTCCGTGGGTTCTCTGTATAGTTGGAAAAAAAAAATCTATATACAATAATTGTTGGATTTCTGTCCCTTTAATTCACTTTTTACGAAGGATTAATTAACAATAGATATTGTAAACCTTCACAGTAGGAGATGGACTTTACAAAGATGCAGGGAATATTCAGATAATACTGTGTGTCCACCAAAGGATTGGTTTATGAACTATGATATAAATTACCTAACACATAACCATATTATGGGTTGGTTGATTTAACGCAAGGGTGATCACTCTTGGGTTACCTAAGTTGTATACATAATTCCCTTGAATCAATGTTCGCCTGGTCGTAAATTACAGTCTGATAATACAGCCCTCAGGCTACCTATTTGGAAGCACTAAGATAATAATTGGAAACACGCAATGCACACAAAATAATAATTATTATAACCGAGATTATCGCTCATCAAACAACAAAATTAATAATAAATGAGAAAACCCAATCCCCAGATACACTTAGCTGTACAAGTCCGAAGCTGCCCATAGGGTGAATTTGGCCACTTAGTAAAGCCCTTATTTTTCACTCTCTCACAAGGGGTTTTTCTATCCAAAAGATACCGGCCAGGTAGAAGAGAATATCCTCAATTGATGTGAGGTACTGACGCAGTCCAGATTCCTCTAGGACGCTTGAGAAGGGGTACTTGAACCCGGTACTTGAAAGCCCTACGGATGGGAAATGTGTGATTATTGGAATGTGACAACTGATTATCACGGACAAAAAAAAAAAAAGAACAAACAAAAGTAACAACAATGAAAAAGGTAATACTCACGATGGTGTAAGGTGGCTTTGAAAGTGTACTAGAGGCTTTGATCCAGCGTGCCTTCAGCCTTAAACCGAATCAATCGTAGGAGGAACAAAACGATATTTCCAGGAACTACTCCCTTTACAGCAACGTACGATAATATCGTCCTCCAGTGGCTATATTTTCGAAAATGTGAACCCACAATAATTAAGTGGAATATGTCGAAAACAATTTTCACTCTCAAAAAAAAATGGCTACCATAGATCTACACACCTCAGTCTCTTTACCAGAAGCCCCTAGCCGATCGTCCCCCGAAATTATTCCCACCAAAACGAAGCATTTCGCGCCAAATTGGAAAACATAGTCGTCTCAGTCCTAAATGAAATAATGGGTGATTTTCTGAGTACATTTGAAGTAATTATCCTTACGAAGAGGTTAAGAGACTAGAGTTTGAACTCCTTCAAGCTCTTCCAGAAGAATGTAGAGTGTTAAATGAGGAAAATTCGTCAATTATACTTATAATTAGAGGAAAATCCATAGATACGCCCCTGACTCAGGCACCTAATTCCCAAGGTGAGAATGCCGAGATCGATGACAATCGATTGTCAAAACTGTCCACAATCCGTCACTCATGTGACATTGATTTATTGATTTATTACTAATGAAGGAATAAAAATTGATAATAGAAACAATGAATAACTCTACGAATTTTAATCCAGCAACCAAATGAACGGACAATTAGAGTGAAGGGTTAGTGCGATCGATGTAAATAACAAGAGTCAGGTGAGTCTTTAACTTATGCTTCACCTAAATAATTCATTCTTCCGTTGATGATCGAAAACAATAATTCTAACCTTACTCTGTAGTGATAATTTCGATGTGAGTTTATACTAAATGAGACAAGATCACTATGTTGAAAATTTAACTGTAACAAAGAGTTATGAATTCTTATTTTCGTAGCCTTGGCGAGTCGCTGATGCGTTCCAATTAACAGTGCTGCTCCTAAGATGGCGTATGGAGTAAGTAACAGTAGTGGAGTTCAAGAACAGCAACTGATCAAAATTACAGGAGATAACAACGCATATTCTATTAAACCATATCTGTAATTGGATCCTATACCCATTATCAACAAAATGAGAAACATGCATATCAATAAAACTGTTTACTATCCATCTCCATCAGAATCTGTCAAATCGTCTTCATTAAATGCCAATGTCTCATCTAATATGAATAGCAATGAGAGACAAACATTTATAACTCACAAAAATAACAATTTTCATTACAATTGTACGGCTACAAAGTTATTCAGGAAATAATCTGGCCGTATACCACTCGACCTATAAACTTATATGGATTTAACTTTGGTTCTTAAATTGTTGTTGAGATATAACATATATGAGTATTTATCCTGTATTCCGATTACCTGTCGATCCTCGGACTAGGCAAAAACTGCCGTCTTTTCACCGCACCGATCCGTATGTCCAGCAACAGAATCAACTCTTGCCTGGTCACCGATCCCAACAAAGTCATTGTTCCCGCGCGGTCAACCAGCGGGAAAACGTTGATCTTCTTGTGGGCCATCAGCAGGTCTTTGAGCTGCCGATGGGTCATGCCAAGGTGTAGGAACTTCATGTCGGTGATCATGAAGTCCTCAGCGTACACATCGTAGATGGCTGCGCAATAAGAAACATACGACAATATGGTTAGCTACATAATTTTAGATACTGATATATCTAAAATTATGTAGCGAGCGTCGGCGATATGTAAGCAAAAGTTGGCGAATTGCTTCACATTGTAGGGGAACGTATATATACAAACAAAAATTTGATACAATGGACAATATGAGAAGGTAAGAAAATGTCTGATTTTTATTATTTAGTCGAACGGAAGAATGATTGACTTTGTAGACACGTCATTAGGACCTCCAGTATTATACGATAATAAGACTTCATAGAATATGGCGTCATATTTTGGTCAAGAAAAGTCGCATACCTAGAATGCCGTAGAATCGACGTCAAAATGACGTCTTATCAGGTCAGGTTTTAGGTGAAATGACTACCGACTAACATTAATCTGACGTCTTTTGAGGTCACTCTGCTCTGATACCTGGGTTTCAGTTTGTATGAAAGCTACTGTGGATAAGTATTTATCATTCTTACTGATATCAAATCTATAATGATTAATCACCCGGTATCTCACACAGTTTAACGAGTTCGAGGCAAAACATAAATATTAGTTATAGACAACCTTCTTGGAAGAGTAGTTAATAAAAGGGTGGTCTCCCGTGGCAATACAGACAACCATACTAGTTTCTTAGAAAAATAATGAATTTTTCTAGTGAGATTTGATAACTTAAATGTTCTTGTTGGATGGACACCAGGCTAATTGAGAAATTTCAGAACATGCACTGCCCACCCTCAAAACAATCAGAAAAATCTTATTTGCTATTCTTATTCTCGAGAGTACATGAGAACGAATTATGAAAACCATTGATGATTTTATATGGTAGAACGGAAGATTGTATGACTTTGTAGAAGGGACGTCATCAAGCTATGAACCGGAAATGACGAGAACCACAAAATGAAAAATCAATTGAATAAACAAAATATTCCGTTCTCTATCCACGACAAATTATTTTGTTAATGTAAGAACAGTTTTGCCACTATGACAAAATTTTGAGCATAAATGCAAACAAACAATGAATTTGTTCGAGTGATAAAATGTTTCTCAGTAGATAAAATAGTTATTTTTGTATCTAGTAGGTACTTCGCGCACTGTTTTAATTCGCGCATTGTTTTGTGGAAGGTATCATGGTAACGTAGGAAACTGAAAAAAGGTGTCACTTCGCAAATTTGTTATCAATGCGCAAACCTTGTCATTTTCTGACGTTTGTAGAAAAAAATATTGTTACAGTAACGAAATATTTTGTCGTGGATATAGGATATTTGTTGATTCAATCAATTTTTTATTTCGTTTGACTTATTCTTAGGCCACTCTGTTACCTGGAATCTAGTGCACGGCGAAGAACCAGGAATGGTTTTCAAATAGAATGTATCAATATGAAATATGATGGATCAGAGATTCTATGTTTCATTTGCTCACATACTCAAATATTTATGTTCCTATCTCAAGAAAGCTACTGTGAATTAGTTTTTATTTGTCATTCGTTCTGATATTGAATCGAATTTATAATGCTCAATCACCCGATTTTTCCACACTCTAATGAAGTGCAGCCAAAACCTGAATATTAGTTGCGACAACCTTTCTGAAAGCGTAGATAATAAAACGATGGTCTGCCTTGGCCAAAGACAATCATAATAGCTCGCATAATGGTTTCTTAGAAGAATAATAAATTTTCAAGTGAGACCGACTTACCACTCGTATTGGGTAACAAATCCGGCAGATAGGGCAACTTCTTCGAAAAAATCACCAAATCGTAGATGCTTGGAGTGAGAAACCTGGCCACCCCGTTGGCTATGAGAACCGCTATCAGAACCGGTATGACGTGCGTGATGGATGACGTCATCTCGAAAAGGATGACGCATACCGACATGGTGTGGGTGACAGCACCTGCGAATGCTGCCGCTCCAACTGTTGCGTAAGCACCTGGCATTATCTGAGCCAATTTGCTATTGTTACGGATTCCTGTGGAGTTAAATAACTATGATATATATCATGAATACATATTTTTTTGAAAGTGTGTTAGTGAATGTGCTACAAGAGTTCCAGACCATTTTTCAAAATTCTGAGTCATCTTTTCCAGATTCTACGGAAATTCTAGTGTTGAATAGGGAGTAGCTCCATTAGAGCTCAGGTGAAGAAATAAGCTTTTTCTCTAGATCTACGGACTCTTTCCGTGAATTTCGAGGTCTATTCTGAAGTTTTTTAGATACTCGGAACCTTGCCACTCGTTCGGTATGAGGATCGCTATCAACACCGGTTTGACGTGCGTGATGGATGATGTCATGTCGAAAAGGATGACGCATACCGACATGATGTGAGTGACAGCTCCTGTAAATGCTGCCGCTCCCACTATGAGGTAAGCTCTTGGCATTATCTGGGCCAATTTGCCATTGTTACGGATTCATGTTGAGTTTTTCGAACATATCGAAAATTATATTTTACGTTTTAGTTTGATTTTATTTATGAAAGTGTGTTAGTAGATGTGCTACAAGAGTTCTAGACCATTTTTCAATATTTCAAGTATTTTTCCACAGATCCTATGAAAATCACAGTGTTGCATGGAGGGAAGCTACATACGAACCTATATAAAGGTAAGTTATTTTTTGCCAGATATGTAATTTTTCTGGGTATTCCAAGGTCCATTCTGCAATTTTTAAAATACTTGGAATCAGAAACCTGGCCATCCCGTAGGCTATGAGTACCGCTATCACAACCGTAATGACGTACGTGATGGATGACGTCAGCTCGAAAAGGGTGACGCACCAACATAATGTGGTCTCAAAACGAATAAGGCTAACGGTCCTGATGGAATTCCACCCATTATCCTCAAAAAATGTGCACCAGAATTAACACCGATTCTCTGCAAGTTGTTTACCGTCTCGTACAGGTCGGGTATCTTTCCATCATGCTGGAAGACAGCTAGAGTCCAACCAATCCCCAAAAAAGGGAACAAGAACCTGCCCAACAACTACAGGCCTATTGCCCTGTTATCAGTAATCTCCAAAGTTATGGAGAAAGCCATCAACATTGAGCTCATCAAATATCTGGAGAGCTCGGGAATCATCAATGATAGACAATACGGCTTTCGCCACCGAAGATCTACTGGAGATCTACTTGCCTACGTCACCCATTTATGGCAAGCTTCATTAGAAAAACATGGGGAATCTCTAGCTGTCGCTTTGGACATATCGAAAGCATTTGACCGTGTTTGGCACGTAGGACTCCTCCACAAACTACCATCATACGGCTCACCACCTCAGCTATGCCATCTCTTATCGAGTTTTCTTTCAGGCAGATCGCTTCATGTGGTGGTGGACGGTGTATCGTCTGATACAATTGGCATCAATTCCGGCGTTCCACAAGGATCAATTTTGGCACCAACATTATTCCTTCTTCATATCAATGATCTGTTGGGAGTAACAACTTGCCCCATCCACAGCTTTGCAGATGATAGTACCCTCCATACAGCGTTCTCTTCCAGAATTCCTATCTCTTCCCAGGAAACTAAGAACACACGGCGCAGGCAGGTCAATGCTGTCAATGAAGACCTTGCTGAAATCACAGCCTGGGGAACCAACAACCTAGTTGAATTCAACGCCACCAAAACTCAAGCCTGTATTTTCTCTAGAAAGGCGGAACTCAGTATGCCCGACATTGTAATGTCTGGCACCACCATCCCCACCAAGCCCACCATATCTATGCTCGGTATTTCCATCAGCAACACTCTTTCATGGGATAATCATGTCAGATCCATCGCAAAAGCTGCTTCACAAAAACTCGGATTCTTGTTCCGTGCGAAATGCTACTTTACACCTCAACAGCTCCTTATGATCTACAAAGCGCAGATACGGCCTGTTCTAGAATACTGTTCCCACATATGGGGTTCAGCACCGAAACATACGCTGATGCTCTTAGATTCCATCCAGAGAAGAGCCATCCGCCTGGTGGGTGACGCCACACTCACTCGCTCTTTGACATCATTGGAACACCGTAGAAAGGTCGGCGACCTTTCACTTTTCTATCGATACTTCCACGGGAAATGTTCTTCGGAAATCTCTGCTATCATCCCTTCACTAGCAATACCAGTCAGACGAACTAGACAAGCCCAGTCAGCACATCCCTTCGTTGTCAACCTCGAAAGATGCCGAACAGCACTTTATCAAAACTCCTTCATCCATAGAACGGCTGGGCTCTGGAATTCATTGCCTGAGGAAGTATTCCCAGCAACATATAATCTCCAGAAGTTCAAAAAAAAATCCAATACCTACCTCCTATCCCTATCCTCCCTAGGAACGCACGATGTTCTTTGAACATTATAGGGATTCCCTCTCGTGCGCTCCAAGCGATAAAAAAAAACAGCTCCTGCTCATGCTGCGGCTCTCACTGTGGCGTAAGCTCCTGACAGTCAAATAAATCCATTCGTATTTTGTACATATAGAGAATAATGTTCTACTTCTCTGATTGATTTTCTTCAAGAGCATGTTAGTAAATGTGCTACAAGAGTTCTAGAACATTTTTCAAAATTTTCCTCAGATTCTACGGAAATACAGAATTTTGAGGTCTATTCTACTGGCCGCCCTGTTTGCTATGAGGAACGCTATCAAAACCGGTATGCTATGCGTTGTGGGTGACGTCATATCGAGGAGGATGACGCACACCGACAAGCAAGGAAGTACGATATTTTCTAAGAAAAATCTCCAGACGGACGCCACTAGCAGAAGTATTGAAAAGTCTCCTGCATCAAAGAATATCTATCAGTGTTGGTAGGTGCATGTCACATTTCATACGAATATCTAGAACATTATTGAAGTTATGATAAGAAATAGTTATGTATTATATATGCAGAGGTAAAAAAAACGTTTGCTGAAATCATATATTTTTTCGTGTATAGTACACTATTTTTTTTGTGACAGAAAAAAAGACAAGAAATTTTTAAGATTTCAACCGGAATGATACTAGCGTGGTAGGCATCTTTTTGCAGACATCTTCATCATTCTTTTGAAGTAATTCAATACCTATCTGTCAGTCTAATTCTGTGATTTGATTCTCAAAGATTGCGAATTTAGTGTTTGTTCACTAATTTACGTAAGCGCGAAGTCGAGCGGAAGATAAAAGGACTCATTTTTTGGAACTATAGCATACTAAAAGCCATCAACGGTGTATGTGGTATATATCCGGAAAAGAGTATTCAGTTTCTTTCCGTTGGAAGAATGTAATTTATGAATAGTGACAAAGGAACCATATCTTATATATCTTCAAACATTAATTGAATTACACCCTGTATAAGCAGTATACCATATACAGGGTGTTGCGAAATTCGACCGACAACGCTTGACAGGTGATACCTCTCGTGATTTCATAATCACTGAGATAGGGACATAAGGTCTCCAAGTGTTCAGTTCTCGAGATACAGGGCGTTGAAGTCGAGAAATTAAAATAGTTTCTTCGCAATATCTCACAAAAAATTTAATGAAATGCATTCAAATTTGGTATATGGTTTCATCTTTCAATGGTTCATTTTTTGACCAGGAAGACATTCCGAGAATATTATCCATAGGTGCGCTACAGGGGGTTGTGATAACTTTTCCTCCCATATTTTCCACGCCACTGACGAAATTTCGATTATTTTTAATTTCTCGAATCGATTGTTCAATTATGTTGAAGAAATGCATTATCTTCAACTGAGCTAAAATGAACAGTTATCGAGATATTTTACCCAAAATAGAAGTTTGCATAGTAATTGTTCATATTCCTCAATAGTTGAAAATATCAAAAATGTTTGTTTTCTCTTTATGCGTGAAATAACAATTTTTGTCCAGCTACATGATGAGATCTGAATAGTATCTAATCTACTCAACAGCGGAAATATATTTTTGCAATTTTCTACTACTGAAAATGATAAAAAATTGTTATTCAATATTCCATTTTGGGTCGAATATCCTCGAAAACTGTTCATTTCAGCTCAGTTGAAGATGATACATTTTTTGAAAAAAATTGAACAATAAATTCGAGGAATTGGGAATAATCGAAATTTAATCAGTGGCGTTAAAAATATGGGAGGAAAAGTTACCACAACCCCCTGTAGGGCACCACTGGATAAAATGTCCGGAATGGCTTCCTGGTCAAGAAATGATCCATTCAAAGATGAAACCATATACCGAATTTGAATGCATTATTTTCAATAATTCTTGCGATATTGCCAAAAAACTATTTTTATTTCTTAACTTCAACGCCCTGTATCTCGGGAACTGAACACTTGGAGACCGTATGTACCTATCTCAGTAATTATGAAATCACGAGGGCTATCCTTGTAAAGCGTTGTCGGTCGGATTTCGCAACACCCTGTAGAATAGGAAATCTAGTTCTTATTTTCTTCCCAAGATACTAACAAAGTAACAGCGAAACTCTTTTCGAGGCATTCAAAAATTTGTTCGGTTAGTTGACCTTACAATAACTGAAGATATGTTTTGGCCTACCTAGAGGGAACCACATATACAAGGCCTCCCCGACAATCCTCCCTAATGCAGCTCCGGCTCTGAAGTTGGGGATGAAACTCCCATTCGGAATCGGCAGTGACGACGCTATTATGGAGAAAACGAACTGGTACCAGACGTAAACAGCTAAATTGATGTAGATGGACGTGTGTTCGGTGGTCCAATGGGATACCACTTCTCGTTGGTTCACTGTCAAGTTGTCTTTGGTCCACGTGAAATTGCTGAATAGGTTCACCACCTGAGGAAAATGTCACACTAATCTTGAAATCGGTTTGCCATCACGTGATCTACTCTCACCGGCAAAAAATAAAAATCTTTGAAATTGATCGCCCTGTAGGTAACTTTTTCAATTCTTATCCGATTGTGGGGACATTTCGACGGAATTATGGATTCACGTTTCGGAGTGTTAGCAATGATTTTCGTTATTATAAGAACAATCAGAAGTGACTCTTCTACCCTTAATTTCTCAACGCCCTGTGAAAGAAGTGGGTGTTTCAACTTCAACTTCTTAATTTTTTGGATTGAAGTGTGATCCCTTCTCAACACAATGGTTTTGATTAATATCAATTAGTTTTTCCGGTGGCGGAATCGGATAAATAAAATACAACTAATATCTTCTGATCAAAATTTTTGAAAAGTCTCAACATTTTCAAACATCAGCGTTCGACGGCAAACTCGTCTATTCAGTACCTTCTGACGTCATAATTCCTTCTCCTGTGTCTTTTCTGACAGTGACATTATAAGCTTATATCGTCATAGTTACGATATCTATTATGAGGGTCATAACTCCCTTGGGATGTTATAGCTGCTATAATTCCCTCTAGCTAAAATTAAATAAGAAATGCATAGCAACAACCACGCAATAACGTAGCAATAAGGAATCTCCTATTCGCGGTAGTCAAGATCATCATCTGACGTTCTGATGACATTGAAACTATACGGAAAAATATGTCTAACTTCCAATCGGGAAGGTATCTAATGAATGAAATCAGTCAGAAATAAAATTATCCATGTATCACGGGAATTATAGAGCCTCAATAACCTCTGGCAATTGCTGTCCCTCGGGCCAGAGGCCCTCGGGACGCAAACTTTGCCATCGGTAATTAAGGCCCTCATAATTCCCTTAATACATAAATAACTATTACTCCCATTGCCATATGCCAATTCTACAAAAGTCCAGTTAAAGCTGACATGATTACTAATCGAGTAGGTTGTAAAACATTGTGGGTTCACCAGCAACCTCAAAATTCGGTCTAATCCTCAATTATACGTTTCTTTAGACATTTAAATACAATCTAAACTGAACGATTTTGGTATAACTACTTGACATTTCATTGGACCTCTAATTCTGATCATCAACATCACTCGAATATCTATGTCATCATATCATGTCACAATCCAGTAAATCTAGAGAGCGATAAATGTCAATATATCCGAACAAGTTGAAGAAACTTCTGAGACGGCAACGCTGTTTTTCTCACTGAGTAGTGAAGTATATCGTTTGTTTCGACTACCACGGCGCGTTATATAGTAGTTGTGACGTCAGTACTTCTGACGATTTTCCGTAGTGTTATAACGGAAGCATTTCTAGAAATGAGTGTTCTTGACTATTGTCAGAATCTTTTTGAGCGGTATGATCAATATATTGGCTTTAAAAAAACTCGCATGCTTGGTATTCGATCAAGTGAGAAGTACAATCAGTTAATATTGGTCTTACAGAAACCTGCAAATGGAAAAAATAAAGTATTCTTTATGGGCATTCAGAATCAAAATGGAATACTGGGTGTTAAAAAATACCAGCTTATCTATAATTTTTAGGTTTACGATACTTTTTTGCATTTTCTAGTAATAGATTATGATGCCCATAAGAAATACTGCACCATTTGAAGGTTTCTGTGAGTAAAATATAAATAATCATCCTATACATGTTATGAGGGAAGGTCAACATCAACCCTTTGTATATACCTTGTGTTCTTCATGTTTTGCTAGGGAGACAAAGAATTGTGAGATGGCATGCATGTATAATACATGAGGACAAACTGACAGTCTCTTCAAGTTTAGTTTGATGCAGTGAATTCATTGATACTTTATGGTTTCTGAAGGACTACATTAGTATAATTCAGGGTTAATATCTAGTGAGTAGAGATGTTATGTATGATGTAACACGATCAGTCAATAAACTTCTTTAATTCATATATGATTATTAATATACATTGAACAACATAACAGTACAGTATATAAGTGCAAAATGACTCACCTGTGGCCCTGCTGCTATCTCGGAGGCCATGAATTGGCCGATGCCAGGAGGCCACGTGACCGTCGAGATCAGGAGGATGACGAAGATGGGGTAAATGAACCGACTACAAAACAAATACGAAATCAATAATTTTTTATTTCATCATCAATTTTATTTTTGGGTGTATGATAAATTGACATTCAGCATACAGGGCGTGGAAAGAAATTCTGAATTGAGACTCTATCACGAATCTGCGATTAGAGGTCTATAAAAATCACAAGTTTCCATCGTTCAAGTTTGAACCCCCTGATTGGGTATGAAAGTGTTGAAATGGAATATTCTCAGATAAATTTTGGACATACAAAAATGGATATATATTTATATGAAGCAATACATAGAGAATTCGCATTCTCTATATGATGAGAATATCTACTCTTTTTCAGTTTATTCAATAGAAAACAACTATACTTTCCTGGCTATATGCCACGACGAACATTGAATTATATCTATTGAACACACACGATAAGAGTTTGAAAATAAAATATAAAAACTTCTGAAATTGAGAATTTGCATTCTCCTTCAGACAAAAATATGTATATGTACACATCATTCTGAATATTCAACAGAAAACAACTACCTACTTTCCTGGCTATTTGCCACGTCGAACATTGAATTATATCTGATGAACAATCAGAAGGACAATTGACGGCATTTGAACGAACGTCGATTTGACACTTATGTCATCATGAACTATGTGATCTGTATATTGTCTAACTGCATTTGGAAATTTTGATTGAAAGTACGTTCAGAATATGAAGAAGCGTATGACATCATTGAAATTCAAAGAAGATATTATTGCTACTTGTTTTATAATAGTGATACAGACACTGGTTACTTGGATTGCACAGATTTTATAGGTATATCGACGCCAAAGGATGCATGATGAAGTCAATTTATTTTACCTCCCACGGGAGTTAATATTTTTTTCCTCCCGTGGGAGTAAATTGACAACTTTGTTGCCTTAAATGATGGAGCAAACGCCTACTTTCGATTCAGTGAGTAGATGACGTACGTTTTTGTCGACGTCGTATCAACAAGTATGATGAATGTTTATGGAATAATGATATATATTGATGATCAATAATGCATGTTTGTAGTATAGGCAACCAAACATACACCGCGTCAGTTCACTGTTGGCACTATATTTAACGGAATATATGGATTTCATCAAAGACTTTACGTTAACGATTTAGCCTTCACAAGTCTCTGAACCGATTTAAATCTCTGTTTTCTAACACGAGGAATTTATTTTCCATGTTGTTTATTCTGACAAATGTCAATTGTCACTTATGTCAGTGACGAGTTGATTTTCAGGGTAACAGAGTTTCAGGGTTTCCGGAGGAACCAAGTTTTCTTCATTGCAGGAGAAAAATAGTCGACGGAAATAGTATATTGTTATATAAGGATCAAAAGTGACACTTTGTTTGACAAGCGATCGAATTCTGCGTTTGCGAGGCGGAGCGTCTAGCGAAGCCAAGCGAACGCAAAATTCGCGAGTCAAACAAAGTCACTTATTTTGATCCGAATGAAACATGCTATTTTGTTTGCAACCAATAGAATGAACTAAAATAAATATGTGAAGTAACCACCAATGTGACTTACTTGAAAGATTATTATAATACATACCCTTATTTTAATAATATATATATATATACATATACAGGGTGTCCCTAGACCAGTGGGACAGTTGAATATCTCCTGAACCAATAGGAATTTTCTAAATATTATAATTTCACATCATATCGCATTATGAGTGCTAACTTCAGGAATGACTATATTTTCTACGAGGGGCGCAAGAAAGGCTCACAAAATCGAACATCAATTTTTTCAAATGAAACACCCTGTATTTCATTGCATTTTCATATTCTCCTTGAAGAGCTGAATTCAACGACCTAGCACACTTGAGGTCTAGCGGGAATGATTTCCGAGATATAGGGTGTGGAAAATCGAGATTTTTCATTTTTGGGAATTTTTTGTGTCAAAACTATTCATCATTGGTCAAAACGGCTTACATATCCATATCTTAACTTTTGATTTACTATTTACTCGTATTTAATTGAAACAAATACAGGGTGGTGTAAAATTCTGACTGAAACTGAGAATTCTACACCACCCTGTATTTGTTTCAATTGAATACGAGTAAATAGTAAATCGATTTTCCACACCCTATATCTCGGAAATCGTTCCCGCTTGACCCCAAGTGTTCTAAGTCGTTGAATTCAGCACTTCAAGGAGAATATGAAAACGCAATGAAATACAGGGTGTTCCATTTGAAAAAATTGATGTTCGATTCTGTGAGCCTTTCTTGTGCCCCTCGTATAAAATATAGTCATTCCTGAAGTTAGCACTCATAATGCGATATGATGTGGAATTATAATATTTTGGAAATTCCTATTGGTTCAGAAGATATTTAACTGTCCCACTGGTCTAGGGACACCCTGTATACGTAAGTATAGATAGAAGCGAGACCTCATACTACTTTACATTAGAATATTGGTAGACGATGACTTCACTTTGTTACAATTCGTGGTGACATGCATCATCAGATACTATTTGCACGAATTCAATACTATACCCGAAACGTGGATGCCGTGCCATATTGTATGCAATGCAACAAATAATCTGTGTGGTGAGAATATAGGAAAAAGAAGTGGAAAATGTTAGGATTGTGAGCATATCAACAGTAATGATAGCGATTATTTTTCCTTTTCTCCATTTTCCACTGTGTTTGGCTCGGTAATCAAATGAGGATAAACAATATCGTTGTGTGAGACAAAAAAGTATTGCTGGCCGTGATTATTCAAGAACAAGTTATCCAATCAATCAGATCCCGAAAATGGATTAAATACAGTTCGAGCAAGTATGTGAATCTTGAAGGCTTTCACGATCAAAACAAAAATTTTTAACTATAATGGTAGGTGTAAGATGTATTTATATCTCCAGCATGGGTATGGTATGCCAAATCTGCCGAAATCGAGAACAAATCAGGTATGCGTCCCAACCCGAATAAACAACCATAACAATGTTGTTCATTCTTGATGACCTAGTACATCCTCTTCAGTTCAAGTTCAACTTTGGCTCCTGGGAACTGAAAATGTTGCCTAGCAATATACCTATGTTTGTGTCAGTAATAGAAACGTCAATGCAAGAGCTAAAATTATGGTATTAAAATGGACGATTTTTGTGTCGGTTACAGAAAAAAATTTGTAACCAACTCGTATATCAATAAGGCGCTTGCTTTGCTCGCCCTCATTAATACGCTAGTTGGTTGAATAACTGTTGGTTCGAGAGTACCAACAAAATGAATCTATACCACATTCCATATTGAAGATAATGGACATTTACAGAATACCTACTTATTCACTCCACCCTGATAAAACACGTATTTACATAGGTAACAGTAACAACGAAATTACGGTTCATAAATTTGAAGTGCTCCTATTAAAATTAGCCTTTTATAACAATGGCTCATTCATACAGTTTTCATAATGATATACAGAGTGACCCATTTGAAAGCGGGCCACCCCTGTATCTCAGGTAATCGTTGGGTAAGGATCATGAAATTTGCTGGAGCGAGAGATATACCAAAAATGCACTCTATGACGAAGTGGGGTCATCTTCAGTGATATACACTGCTCGCCAACAGCCATGGAACCACCCCAATTTACGGAAAATGATATTAGGAGTCAAAATAGGTTGAAAATCACTTCGGATTCGGAATCAGGACGCCCTACTCACTAACTCTTCTTATTTTTTCTTGAAAATTGTCAGTTCTGAAAAATTAAATTTTGTCGCACTTTTCACGGAAGCACCCCCGTATCTCACGTAATTGACTTTATCTTTGGACTTTCCGTTCCTCCTGCAAATTTTAGAACCCTACCTCAATAATTACGTGAGATACGGGGGTGCTTCCATGAAAAGTGCGACAAAATTTAATGTTTCAGAACTGAAAATTTTCAAGGAAAAATATGAATAGTTAGTAAATTGGGCGTCCTGATTCCGAATCCGAAGTGATTTTCAACCTATTTTGACTCCTAATATCATTTTCAGGAAATTGAGGTGGTTCCATGGCTGTTGGCGAGCAGTGTATATCACTAAAGATGACCCCACTTGGTTATAGAGTGCATTTTTGGTATATATCTCGCTCCAGCAAATTTCATGATCCTTACCCAACGATTACGTGAGATACAGGGGTGGCCCGCTTTCAAATGGGTCACTCTGTATGTTAATAAAACCATATCAAGAATACTCTAGAAAACTTACTTTGATTTCTTGATACTCATCAACACCTTGTTACTATTCGCCCAACGGTCATACAGCTGCTTGCAGCTTATGTAAAAGGATCCTCCTAAGCCACAGATCAATCTGAAAAAAAATTGAGCTATTTTAAATTTTTTTGAGTTCCAATCCATGTTGACTGCCAAAAAACGCCTCTTGCCAAAGCGCGGCTAGTAACTATCAGGTTTTCAAAAACAGAAAAGCAAATGGCTCATCAGATACTCTGAGTAGGCTATGACTTTGAAGTAAGTAACTGTTAACTTTTTCATAGAACACCATATGTTTTTGTTTATTTTCTTTTTTATTAGGAGTTTTCGGATGACTTTTGGATACAATTGCGTGTATGTACAAGAGGGGGTGGGGAAGAATAAAATTTAGTGTTTAGATGAAAATTAACATTAAGATTCACAGAATGATTTTTTTTATTTCAACGCCTAACTAATATCTGATCTATTCCTTCCTAGAAACTGAAAATGCTAAAACTGCAGCGTGCAAGTTCGTTTTTTCAAAATTCAATTCATGTATATAAAATCCCGTTTGCCATAACTTTGCCAGAAACGTACACTTGACATTCGAAAGCATGACAACCAAAATTGTACTAAAACAAATCTTTGATCAACACAGTAGGTATAGCTTCTTCAGTTGAATGGTACAATGAACTAATGCAGCATAAAAAATGCAACATGCTGTATAGTTTGATATTTCCGAGAGATTTTTCATGTATTAGTTGTGAAGTGGGCCTGATGGCTATTTCTATAACAAACAATATCTTGTTTACGAGTGATTGTCAAGCTCGCAGGATTCACATCACTGAAAGCTTCCTGGTGTCATCCTGTTTTTTATTATATTAATAAACGATGTTCAGCCTTCAGATAGATCGTTGATTCAGAAGCTCGTTCGACTCTAGAAAGCGCCCTGCTAATCGTTGTATTTATTTCAGTGTGAAAATCATTAATATTTGAATAAACCGTAGGAAACTATAATTGAACAATCATTTATGGTAAGGAAATAGACTTAGTTACTTCAATTACGTCCCTGAGAAGTCTCATCATCAAGTCTTCAGTCTGTTTTGTTACAACTAACTTACAATAGCTTGCCTTACTATTATATCCTTCTTTCCCAACCTAATGGAACCCTTTCAACTTAATCCGGTACGACGTACCTATTTTGATATAGATATTGTGCCTACTTTCTGAAAATGAAGATCCATCGAACCTACAGGTAAATCTAATCCTTCCGGTTGGGAAAGTATGATGTAAAAGTTAGGCTAGCCAATTGCAATTCAGTTTTTCCGCCACTAGCTATGAAACCTACCATTATTTACTCCTTTTCGAGTGAAAGTTATTTATACACCAGGGTAGTTAAGATATTCATTGATACCCAGGGACCAAGAATAAATCCCGAGGCTTGGAGGATGAATACCTATTCGATTCCAGTGCCATTCCTGCGAATCTCTGATCAAAACAGTGCAGTGAAGCTTGGCGAGGAGTCCGTGGTGCCAGACTCGATCGAAGGCCTTGGAAATATCAAGTGGCACGGCTAAGGTTTCACCATATGCTGCTATATATGTGAGACTTGAGCGAGCAGGTCACCAGTTGATCTCTGATGACGAAAGCCATATTGCCTATCGTTGATAATACCTGAATGTTCCAAGAATTTCATGAGCTCGATGTTGATAGCTTTCCCCATGATCTTTGAAATAATAGTTAGCAGTGCGATCGGTCTGTACTTGCTAGATAGGGTCTTTTTGCCTTTTTTAGGAACTGGTTGTACTCTTGCAATTTTCCAGTTGGACGGGAATATCCCCAATTTGTAAGAGTAGTTGAACAACTTGCAGAAAACAGGTGTTAGTTCGGGAGCACATTTCTTGAGAACAATCGGTGAGATTCCGTCGGAGGTGTTGAGACCCAATAAATTCTTCATTATAGTACGTTGGCGAAAGATGATCTCGGGCATGTGACTGTCAATTGGCGTTATGTTTGGAGGATGTTTTCCCGATGAATCCAGAGTGGAATTTCCAGCAAATACATGTGCAAAAATGTTGACTAGTGGTTCATAAAATGACGAAAATTACCTTGATAGGGAAAACACACTTTACGCCAAGAAAAGGAGTAAATAATAGTATGTTCTATAGCTAGTGGTGAAAGAAGAATATTATAACCAAGGGAACTTATACCCCTCGGCTGAATCCTCGGGATATAATCTTGGTCCTTGGGTAATACTGATATTCTTTATTACCTTGGTGTATGAATAAATATTATTGTACTAGTATTTCACCTGAAGAAGCTACTGTGTTATCAAAACATGTCGTGTATTTATGAATTTTGTGGAAATCTTATCGTTTGTGAAAATTTCTACATTCAATTTGTTTTATCCATGAAGATGAACTGAAAAATGTGAACGTCCTACTTATCATGCCTAGGGGACACTCGGGGTATGATACAAATTCCTGAATGATGATCAGACAGTTTCAAGCCTCTAGAGAAGTATCCTCAAGTTGATTTACCCCAAAATGGCGAAGGAAATCAGCTCCAACGGATCGTACGGGAACTCCACGAAGAAATTCGTTTTGAAAATGACAGTTATCGTCTCGACTCCATCTATCCACACCAAAAGGAGTCGGTAAGTTGTGGCTCCCCACACAGCAGCAAAGAAACCTCGCCAGTAGTTTCTGACCGCATAGTATGCTGTGGTAATTTCAACGCTGAAAAGTACTCCTGAAACACGAGAAGTTTATCGATCACTAGTTTCTTCAACAAGGGCTAATATTTTCAGTATCACCAGTTGGCGTTACTAGAACATGAGGTCAATATGTCAAAGTCGAAAATCCTAAAATTATTCCGGGTGGCCCTAAAGGGTGTGGCCTGTTTTATCGAAAATATTCGGAAAAAATTATGTTGAATATTTGAACAAATGAAAGATCTCAAGTTATGGAAAGACTGAGCAGACTCACGTGTTTTATTTTCAACAATGTGAAACTTCACGACCAATTCTTACATTGACGGAGAAGAAGATACCGTAGGAAGAGGCCAAATGATACGAAAAGAAGAAGTATATTCATCAGTCTATACAGGGTGTTTCATTGGGAAAGGTAAATAATTCAACTGTGCATAGGGGTCACTGGGGTGATTTCAAAAAACCCATGGTTGATGGGTCTTCGACTTCTTATAACCGAGATACAGGATGTTTCATCAATTTTGTCCATATCTTCATTGTCTCATAACTTTCCAACCAACCTGTATATATTTTTAAAAATTGGTACACTTGTTCAATCTATCCTGTGGAATTGATTGAGGCAACAGCAAAAGATAGAATCCAGGTCCGGCTTCACTTAAAATTCACAAATTCTTTCTGCCAGAAAACAACACCCTATACATTCGAATTTCTCATTTTTTTGCCATATCTGAAAAGAACGTCAAAATTTCTATTCAACGAGGTGCTTTTTATTCGTGCACAAACGATTTTTACTATTCATATTATGTGCTCAAAATATTATTTTTGCTCATTTTGGAATCAGACGAGATTTATTAATTTTATTACTTCCTATTCAGTATACGTGAGAATTACATTTAGAAGGAGTATTTCATATCGTTCTTTGTTCCAGACCAGGTCCGTCATCAAAACTATACAGGGCTTTTCACGATAAGCGTTAATTAGATGTTTCTGGCAAACCAGGCAACGGATAAATCAAAAAATTCGAAGGTATGTATAAATTAACATGATCTACACGCCTGAAATATTTGAAACAATCCGGCGTTGCCGCTTCTACTCGAAAGTAGCAGTAGCTTTGATTTTTCAAATGGGACACCCTGGATGCTTCTTGAAGAGCTGATTCAATCGATTCACAAAGTTCGGGGTCTAGTGGAACTAATAACTGAGATATTTAGAGTGAGATAAATCGAGATGTTTCAACTTTAGAATTATTTTGCGAAAATATGTATTATTGATCAAAACTGCTTTTATGTACGTCCCTATCTTAACTTTGTATCTATTGACATTCAATCGAAACAAATACAGGATGGTTCATAATTCAGATTTCTGCACCACCCTGTATCTGTTTCAATTGAATATCGAATGGAAAGTTGAGATAGGGACATTGAAGCCGTTTTGAGCAATAATGAATAGTTTCAACACAAAACATTTCTAAAGTTGAAACATCTCGATTTTCCACATCCTATATCTCAGTTATCAGTCCCGCTAGACCTTGAATGTTTTGAATCGATGAATTCTGCTGTTCAGTAAGAATCCAAGAATGTAATGGAATACAGGGTGTCCCATTTGAAAAATCGAAGTTGCTGCTACTTTCTAGTAGAAGCGGAAGGCGTTACCACGTTGTATCGGTGGTAACGGGCAAGGCCGGATCGTTTCAAATATTTCAGTAGTGTAGAATATGTTAATTTATACATACCATCGAAATTTCAGATCTATCCGTTGCCTGGTTTGCCAGAAACATCTAATTAACGCTTATCGTGAAAAGCCCTGTATAGTTTTGATGACGGACCTGGTCTGGAACAAAGAACGATATGAAATACTTCTTCTAGATGTAATACTCACGTATACTGAATAGGAAGTAATAAAATTAATAAATCTCGTCTGATTCCAATTTTGTACCCCAAAATGAGCAAAAATAATATTTTGAGCACATAATATGAATAGTTAAAATCGTCTGTGCACGAATAAAAAGCACATCGTTGAATAGAAATTTTGATGTTGTTTTCAGATATGGCAAAAAAAATGAAAAATTGGATTGTATAGGGTGTTGTTTTCTGGCAGAAAGAATTTGTTAATTTTAAGTGGTGCCGGACCTGGATTTTATCTTTTTTTGTTGCCTCAATCAATTCCACAGGATAGATTGAACAACTGTACCAATTTTTAAAAATATATACAGGTTGGTTGGAAAGTTATGAGACAATGAAGATATGGACAAAATTGATGAAACATCCTGTATCTCGGTTATAAGAAGTCGAAGACCCATCAACCATGGGTTTTTTGAAATCACCCCAGTGACCCCTATCCACAGTTGAATTATTTACCTTTCCCAATGAAACACTCTGTATAGTTTATGCAAAGTTGGAAAAACACATTACCGCAAGCCGTCGGCCCCTTTGAAAGTTCAAAGAGTGCGGCAGCGCGGCCCGACATTCGTTTGATGATCTTTTCAACTGACTTTGCATAAACTTTACCAACTCTGACCTCACGTTTCAGTAGCGCATTTTGATGGACCATGAATAAGGTCAGCCCTCTAATTCGATGATTCTTACAACTCACACTAAATGTCAACACCCATTTCCATGCTTGCATGAAAAACGAATAAATGTTAGAAAGTGAAACAACAATGGAATTCCATTTTTTTGATATTCATCATACAGGACGTGAAAAGGAATTCTGAATTGAGAAAACCTAATCACGAATCTGCGATTGAGGTCTATAAAAATAACAAGTTTCCATCGTTCAAGTTGGAACCCCTTGATTGTGTGAAAGTATTGTATATATATTATATTCTCAGTGATATTTATGAACACAAAAAAATGGATATATATATATAATATAAAGAAATACATGGAGAATTCGCATTTTCCATGTGATGAAAATATTAATTCTTTCTAGGTTTATTCGACAGAAAACAAAAACTTTTCTGGCTATATGCTACCACGAACATTGAATTACATCTATTGAACACACATGATACGAATTTGAAAACAAAATCTTCGGAAGTAGAGAATTTGAATTCTCCTTCATATAGAGATATGCACATTTTTTTTATAGCTTGGAGCGCACGAAAGGGAATCCCTATAATGTTCAAAGAACATCGTGCGTTCCTAGGGAGGATAGGGACAGGAGGTAGGTATTGGAATTTTTTTTGAACTTTTGGAGATTATATGTTGTTGGGAACACTTCCACAGGCAATGAATTCCAGAGCCTAGCCGTTCTATGGATGAAGGAGTCTTGATAAAGTGCTGTTCGACATCTTTCCAGGTTGACAACGAATAAAGGATGTGCTGACTGGGCTTGTCTAGTTCGTCTGATTGGTATTGCTAGTGAAGGGATGATAGCAGAGATTTCCGAAGAACATTTCCCGTGGAAGTATCGATAGAAACGTGAAAGGTCGCCGACCTTTCTACGGTGTTTCAATGATGTCAAAGAGTGAGTGAGTGTGGCGTCACCCACCAGGCCAATGGCTCTTCTCTGGATGGAATCTAAGAGCATCAGCGTATGTTTTGGTGCTGAACCCCATATGTGGGAGCAATATTCTAGAACAGGCCGTATCTGCGCTTTGTAGATCATGAGAAGCTGATGAGGTGTGAAGTAGCTTTTCGCACGGAACAAGAATCCGAGTTTTTGTGAAGCAGCTTTTGTGATGGATCTGAAATGATTATCCCGTGAAAGAGTGTTGCTGATGGAAATACCGAGCATAGATATGGTGGGCTTGGTGGGGATGGTGGAGCCAGACATAACAATATCGGGCATACTGAGTTCCACCTTTCTAGATAAAATGCAGGCTTGAGTTTTGGTGGGGTTGAATTCAACTAGGTTGTTGGTTCTCCAGGCTGTGATTTCAGCAAGATCTTCATTGACAGCATTGACCTGCCTGCGCCGTGAGTTCTTAGTTCCCTGGGAAGAAATGGGAATTCTGGAAGAGAACGCAGTATGGAGGGTACTATCATCTGCAAAGCTGTGTATGGGGCAAGTTGGTACTCCCAACAGATCATTGATATGAAGCAGGAATAAAGTTGGTGCCAAAATTGATCCTTGTGGAACGCCGGAATTGATGCCAATGGTATCAGACGATACACCGTCCACCACCACGTGAAGCGATCTGCCTGAAAGAAAACTCGATAAGAGATGGCATAGCTGAGGTGGTAAGCCGTATGATGGTAGTTTGTGGAGGAGTCCTTCATGCCAAACACGGTCGAATGCTTTCGATATGTCCAACGCGACAGCTAGAGATTCCCCGTGTTTTTCTAATGAAGCTTGCCATAAATGGGTGACGTAGGCAAGTAGATCTCCAGTAGATCTTCGGTGGCGAAAGCCGTATTGTCTATCATTGATGATTCCTGAGCTCTCCAGATATTTGATAAGCTCAATGTTGATGGCTTTCTCCATCACTTTGGAGATTACTGATAACAATAGGCAATAGGCCTGTAGTTGCTGGGCAGGTTCTTGTTCCCTTTTTTGGGAATTGGTTGGACTATAGCTGTCTTCCAGCATGATGGAAAAATACCCGACCTGTACGAGAAGGTAAACAACTTGAAGAGAATCGGTGTTATAATTCTGGTGCACATTTTTTGAGGATAATGGGTGGAATTCCATCAGGACCGTTAGCCTTATTCGTTTTGAGACCAAGCAAAATTCGTCTGATAGTGCGTTGACGGAAGACGATTTCGGGCATTCGACTCTCAACGGGTGGAATGTCTGGCGGCACTTTTCCTTGGGAATCTAAAGTAGAGTTTGCTGCGAACATCTCTGCAAAAATATTTGCTTTCTCCTGATATTGATAATTGACATTATCTCTCAAATATGATGTATTATGATATAAAACTTACCAATTTGTTCAGTATTGAAATGAAAATTGCAATGTATAGGAAAGTAGTAGTAGTAGTAGTAGTAGTATTGTGGGGAGGCTGTAGCCAGGCAAGTAGGCCCCCATGAGCCCTTTTTGCCAACCCCTGCTCTCCACATATCTACACATTCCTCTTTTAGTTGTCCTTTTCGAACCTTCCCGTCCTTCTGATGAAGGTCAGGATGTCCGTCCACTCTGATTCGGCCAAATCTTCCTGTTGTATCTACTCCAAAGATTTCGAATCTCATCCTTCCATACGCCTCACACTCTCCGAGGAAGTGAAGTGATGTATAGGAGAAGTATACTTGTCTGAACTCTGATTAGGTTTTCTCAATTAAGAATTTCTTTCCACGTCCTGCATGATGAATATCAATTCATCATACATCCAAAAACAAACGCCCAGATGACAGTGGTTATGCCAACAAATTCTAATTCTCAGATTTCAGGTCGTTAAAGTTTTAGTTATATTATAGGGAGATGAAAATTGTGTATATCATGAAGAATGGCTGAAAGAATAACTGGACTTTAGGTTACTGATGAGGATCTGATATTCGAAATGAGTTTTACTCGAGTGGAGTCATATAACCTGTTTGCGAGAGATATAATTCTCATATTTTTGTAAAATTTGTATATCGCTACTTCAAAGTTGGGAACCAACTCCCCATAAGTCGAAACATGTGCGGGGTTAGGAAGAGCGGGACCTACAGCTTATAGTGGAATCCGAACCACTTCTAGGGCATCGAGGTGCTGCCAGGATTACAACCATGAATCACACATTTTTAAGAAAAATGCTCAGCCGATAGCCGGATTCGAACCGACAGTACCTCTGCATCGTGAACGGCTATCTAGCGAATTTCAGACAAACTCGGCCACGGAGCCCATATCACTGATACGAATGATTTTTTTTGTAAGTTCCAATTTCATCGAGATCAGAGTTTATACAAGTATATTCCCTCTATACATTTCAATTTTTATTACAATACTGAACATATTGGTCAGTTATATTTTTATATCATAAGACATCATATTATTCTATTCGATTTGAGAGGTAATGTCATCAATTCTCAATTTCAGAGGATTTCGATTCTTCATGCTCTCTTTTAGGATATTCAACAGATATATAATTCAATGTTCGACGTGGCAAATAGTCAGGAAAATAGTTGTTTTCTGTTGAATATTCAGAACGATATTATGTGCATATCTTTATATGAAGGAGAATGCAAATCCTCTACTTCAGAAAATTTTGTTTTCAAATTCTTATCGTGTGTGTGCAATAAATGTAATTCAATGTTCGTCGTGGCATATAGCCAGGAAAGTAGTTGTTTTCTGTCGAATAAATCGTGAAAGAATTAATATTTTCATCACATGGAGAATGCGAATTCCCAATGTATTTCATGATATATATATATCCATTTTTTTGTGTTCATAAATATATCTGAGAATATTCCGTTTCAATGAAATTCCAACCGCTCGCACACAAATTTTTGAATTGACTGCATTCATTCATTTCACCAAATAGATTCCGAAATTCTGGAGAAAATAATAAATAAATAAATAATAAATGAACCTTCTTGCTAAGAATCATATTCTTCGGAAAATCACTTGAGAAAACAGAATTAAAAAAAAGCCGACCGTCGCAGGCCTTGAACCCGGGTCGCCGACGTGAGATTCGAACGCACAGTTAACTACGCCACGAGTGGTAGTATGAAGAAAGAATTTAGTCGCTGTCTCTAGGGATAACAATAAGCAACGCTGCAATCCCCTCACCATTCTGAAATTTATGACAAGTAAACTCCCCAGGCGCTAATGAATCACTTGAATCAGTTAATTTGCTCACCTCCTATGGGCGCATTGAAGGTACATGCCACTCCCACCGCCCAAGCGGCTCCCAGCATCTCGATCTTCTTGCTCTCATTCACATAAACCTTGTTGAAGTTGGACATCAGCTTGCTCATCTTCAAATCAAATCGAAACAAAATTACTTCATTGTCTGAAGACTGGTAACTCTTATTGACATAGTGGTAGGGTAAGAAACAACAAAATTACATTTTTCTCCAAGCGGCATGGAAAGTGGCCTTCCACTGACACTTAACAGGCAGAAAAAGTGTACTTTTTCTGCCTAGGCACAAGATGATTGTTGCTATGCAACGTTTCAATAATTTGAGATAAACAATCAAAATTGACACTGACATTGGGTGAACACGAAATAATGTTTCACACGGCAGCAAACGTAGATTTACTGCCTTGGCTCAATTTCTATAGCCTCGCTATGCTGCCTAGTGAAACAAATAACTAATTTTCCACCACTAGCTATATATATCGAACCTACCATTATTTGCACCTTTTCAGGGTAGTTTTCGTTATTTTACACTAGTCAATAAAGACATAGCCACCTCTGTTATGAGCCACTGTTCTGATGCGAGATTCGCAGCATTAACACTCGAATCTAGTAAGTAGGAATTCATCAATGGGCTTGTCATTATGCTGTCATGGTTATGGCTACTAGATTTCAATAAGAAATTAAATGAACTGCTTTCATAGTGACATAAGTCCATATATTTGAGTTCCACAGAACTATAAAGATCGAAATATATTGCTAGTGGTGAAAAAATATTGATTACACGTTGGCGTTATGGTTTATATGAATACCCTTCAAACATGCAAGGCCACATACAGGTTGTTTCAAAACTAAGTGTCAAGATTTCAGATGCTCATTTTTTGGATCAAAATAAGACTTTCTTCCTTCAAACATGTGTCCGCAAACGCTTTTTTTGTTAGTAATAAATTTATAATTTTCTAGAATGAATTTCCTTGATCCTTTTCATTCATTAACATGTGTGAAGTGATTTTTCAGCCATTTGAAAAGTATAATCCTCTTCACCCTGAAATGCTGGGTGAAGCGGATCACAATTTGGGATTAAAAAAAAATGTTCATGATTATCGAATTTTTTTCCACAAAGCTCTATATATAGGAAGAATATACGAATCCTATACATTTTTTCACACTCTTAAGTAATGTACTTTGGTTGCAGCCCTGAAAAAAAAAAGATTTCGATCTGTTTCACCCCAGGTGACGGTACGTCGCATATCTGAAAACACATCAAAGTCGAGACATACAATACCTAATATCCTAAAACACATACCTTGGTGACGATGATGCTGGACATGTGGATGAGAGGCCCTTCCTTGCCCAAGGGCATACCGCTGCCTATCGTAGCCGTGATGCCCAGCCATTTGGCCAGAAGGACTTTGAAGGTGAGGACCTCTTTCATGAAAACGCCGCGCAGGCTGGTTTTCAGCTGGGGTATGCCGGAACCTAGGGAAAATCAATGACCACGTTTACACCTTATGGATATTTGGTATGCTTTATCAAGGTGATCTGACCAAATTCAGACCAAACACCTTACGCTGCCCTAGTATTACATGGGTGTATGTTACATAATTCAAATATCAGAGATTTTGATATCACATGATTCTATGGGTCGAAAACTACACATAGAACTTGGAAACATCAAAATAGCGTAACGGTGTATTCTCCAAATACAAAAAAATACAAAGGTGTATGTCGTGAATATTTCAAATCGGAACAACTTGGTACTATCCCAGCAAACATGTATCGCGCGGGCCTTTAGACGCCCTCCAAAATCTGCCGACAGTCAACATCAGCGGGCTTCAATCATGATACATCGTCGGCCCGGCTAGCCCATGTCGCACCCGCCGCTAGTAGGCCAACCGACTATCTGCCGACACTATTCGGTTAGAAATAATAATAATAACGTTCATTCACAAGATCAGGTACAAAAAATACAAAATTCAAAGATCCTTCACTGAGTTGATGTAAATAAACAAAGCTACCCACAAAAATCATGGATTGAATAATAGTTATTTATGTATCAAGGGCGTAAAGTAGGCGTTTATGGCCTGTGGCGTGAATAATGGCCCGATGGCGCTAGCCGAGGGCCATTACACGATGAAGGCCATAAACGCATTTCACGCACGTGATACATACAAAATTTTATGCACTAGTGGTTCTTTTCTTGACTCAAAAGTAATGACTATAGATTTCGATAAACTCATATCCCCCCGAATTTAATTTGTTACGTATAAATTCAGTAATCAAGAGAAGCGTAATGTTCATGGATAATTTACATATAAAAATTATCGTACGAATATTGCAATTAATCGTAATAGTAAAACTCTTTGATCTCTAGAAGAGATTCATTCTTCAGAATTTCACAATATGCATACCCAGTATATTATTATATACCTAACTAGCTTTGACGTTGTCAATCAAGCTGATGGTTGTTGTCTATAGCAATACATTCAATAAACGAGCTGAATTGTCATTCTTTGACTGAAAAGTAAAAATTAGTGATAATAATAATAGCGAGACTATGGAATCGGATAAAGAAGAAGTTCATGATATACCGCTGGATATATTTGAATCTAGAAAAATGATCATAGGTTTTTCATGAATTGATATGTGGATATAAGGTAACTAAGAACAGCGGGCGGTAAAGTGCACTTTACGGCCCGCTAGTGCATAATAGTTATTTATGTATCAAGGGCGTAAAGTAGGCGTTTATGGCCTGTGGCGTGAATAATGGCCCGATGGCGCTAGCCGAGGGCCATTACACGCTGAAGGCCATTAACGCATTTCACGCACGAGATACATACAAAATTTTATGCACTAGTGGTTTATTTTCTGACTCATAAGTAATGACTATAGATTTCGATAAACTAATATTCCCCAGAATTTAATTCGTTACGTATAAATTCAGTAATCAAGAGAAGCGTAATATTCATGGATGATTTACATATGAAAATTATCGTACGAATATTGCAATTATCGTAATAGTAAAACTCTTTCAGCTGTAGAAGAGACTCATTCTTCAGAATTTTACAATATGCATACCCAGTATATAAACCTTTTTGACGTTGTCAATCAATCTGATGGTTGTTGTCTATAGCAATACATCCAATAAACGAGCTGAATTGTCATTCTTTGATTGAAAAGTAAAATTAGTGATAATAATAATAGCGAGACTATGGAATCGGATGAAGAAGAAGTTTATGATATACCGCTGGATATATAAGAATCTAGGAATATGATCATAGGTTTTTTATAAATTGATATGTGGATATAAGGTGACTGAGAACAGCGGGCGGTAAAGTGTACTTTACGGCCCGTGGGCCATAATGAGCCCGCGGGCGGTAAAGTGCGACTTAACGCCCGCAAAACCGGGCGGTAAAGTGCACTTTACGGCCCGCTAGTGCATAAAAAAATATATAGTCGGGAGTCGGACTCGAACTTGCGATCGAACAGATATCCAATCAACTGTCACAAGCATCAAAGTTGTTTATTCAATCGTAAAAATCAGGTACATCGCAACATAACAAACACATTATACCACTAGGCTAAGCGAAACTTGAAATATACTATTACGAATCCATCAGTCAACAGAATTGAAATAACACAAGGCTTCAATTATATTTCATATTTGATCATTCGATATACCTATCATAACTTGTTGATTTGACGACGTAGAATAGGTGTGGTCTGAAAATGTTCTAGCCACATTACTTTTCCAGTGTTTGATTTATTACTGTGAATCAAATATTTTTAGAATATAGGTAAAGACCTGAATTTCGATTGGAGCATCATTGTTATAATATAGGGTAATGAACAAATATTCAGCTCAAAATCATTACCACGAAAATTGATTGGTAGACAATAACGAGTATTATACCTATTGTTATATAACATAATATATCATTCTCGATATCGAACGATATAGTTTGCTCTGGGATCAACCATAAAAAATGAATAAAAGTATTCTGGAGATATATTGTTATTCTGATACTACACTATGAGATTATTTATGCAATGGAGTTTGTCTTCAGCGTCGAATCGACAGCGACGCGATTGTGACATATCTATAACGGTCAATTACGAGATGAAAGAAAAAAAACATAATAAATAAGCGTACATCATGCCGTGGCGGCACAACCTATGTCATTCTAACATTTTGCCGATATCGGTTTGCCGCTGCCGATACATATCCGCTGCTGACAGCGATGGCTCACCTATTTACCGCCTAATCATGATTGCTGGGATGTAGAACATGGATCTTTGTTTTCACAAAACCCGTGATCCTAGAACATGTGTCTTACATGAAACCTTGTTCCTCTCAAAAATTTACGACTGCAGTATCACATAGGTGCATGTTATGGCATGCACCCAGGTAATACGTACCGGATGTCTTATTTATAGGTTAACTCCACGTCAAGTTGTTTTTACGAGACTGGGATTTCAAGTTTCTTCCTCGGTTCAATATGTAAGATGATAGTAATGATAGTGAAACTTGGAATACATATTTGCAAAGATGTTCGCAGCAAACTCCGACTTAGAATATCAGGAATGGATACCGCCAGATATTCCACCCATTGAAAGTCGAATGCCCAAAGTCGTACTGCGTCAACGGATCATCAGACGCATTTCTCTTGGTTTCAAAACGAATCAGACTAACGATCCTGATGGAATTCCACCCTATTATTCTCAAAAAGTTATTTATCATATCGTACAAGTCGGGTGTTTTCCCATCTTGCTGGAAAGTAGCCCAAGAGTCCAACCAATTTCCAAAAAGAGATGGAGAATTCTATCGCCCCATTATCAATTATCTTCCAAGTCTTCCATCAACATTGAGTTTGTCAAATATCCGGAAAGCTCAGAGGAATCATTACTGATAGATAATCACTTTCGCTATCGAAGATCAACTGGAGATTCACTTGTCAACGTTATGCATAGATGGCAAGCTTCATTATGAAAACCTAAGGAGTTACTATAGCTGTGGCTTTAGATATATCGAAAGCATTTGCCAAGTTTGGCACCAAGGACTTCCCCACAAACTACCATATGGCTCACCACCTCAACTATGCCTTCATTTATCGAATTCTTTTTCAGGCAGATCGCTTTATGTGGTGTTGGTTGGAGTATCGTTTGATAACATAGGCATCAATTCCAGCGTTCCTCAAATTTAAATTTTGGCACCACTATTGACCTATTATTCCTAGAACACATTAATGATCTGTTGGGAGTCCATCCTGTCTCATCCACACTTTTGCAGAAGATTGAATTCTCCATACTGCAATCTCTTCCAGAATCCTCATTCCTTCTTAGTGGATCAAGAACTCACGACGGAAGCAAGTCAACGCATAGTCAATGTTTAGTTTCATCATTCTAACAAAATCCACCATATCAATGCTCGGTTTTTCCACCACCATGGGAAAATCATGTCCGATACATCGCGCGAGCTCCTTCACAAAACTCGGATTTTTATTCCGTGAGAAAAGTTACTCTAGCACTCAACAGCTTCTTATGATCTACGAAGCACAGGTATGGCATGTTTGGGGATACTGTACCCACATAACCGGTTCAGCACCAAAACATATGGTGATGATCTCGAATAGATGCAGTCAATCCTGCTTCAATAAGATTTGAAAAGTTGGATACATGTTTCGGCCAGTGAAATGGCCATCTTCAGTCAAATTGTTACATCAACTTTGTGATTTTCCATTGTCTTCATGGTATGTTAAAATTGAGCTTGGGTTTTCTATCGTAGATACACTTTAATGTACCAATTTGACTGAATATGGCCATTTGAATGGCCGAAATATGTCTCAAACCTTTCAAACGTTATTGAAGCAAGATTGACTGCATGTATTTAACATTAAACTTGTGGAACATCGCGAGTAACTAGGGAGGAGAGGGAGATAAGGTAGGTGTTGGATTTTTTTTTTGAACTTTTGGAGGTTATAAGTTCTACGGAATACTTCCATTGGAGAAGAATTCCAAAGCTTCCCCGTCCTATAGAAGTTTTGGTAGAGTGTTCAAAATTTTTCGAGGTTAACGACGAAGGGATGTGCTGACTGGGCCTTTGGAGTTCACCTGACTGGTATTGCTAGTGATGGAATCATAGCAGAGATTTCTGAGGAACATTTCCCTAATTCTAAGTATCTAGCTCATCCGGAAATTATAGTTTATAATCAATTACAAAATTCCACTCAGACGGGCACCAAGAAAACGAGTTGATGAAAACATGGTGAAATGGCCGAGAACCAGACATATGGTAAATTTTTCCGTTTCATTGAGATGTCAAAAGTTAATTGCAAAAATACATTGAAAAATATTCACGAATTACGTAGTTATCATGGAATTGGTATGTTCCTCAGAAATACCTGCTCATTTCATCACTAGCAATACCGGTCAGACGTATACTCGACAAGCACAGTCAGCACACCTTTTCGTCGTCTACCTCGAAATATGTCGGATAACCCGTTACCAAAACCCTTTCGTCTTTAAAATACCTATACCCTTTATCTACCTGTACGTGAGCATAGGAGATAAAAAAAAGAGAGGGATCAGTAAGAGGTGAGGAGAAGAGTAGGAAGAGAGCCACTAGAGAACGAAAAGACAGAAAGAAAAGAGGATCTCTCAGGGGCTCACAACTTGTGAGTACGGAGATGGTGAACTCGAGGTACCCTAGCCGGATATTCACCATACTTCAACTTGTCTTGGGTGATATCCTCTTCTCTCTTCCTTTTTCAATCTATCTATCGGTCTTTCTTGGCCAACTTTTCTTTTCCTCCTCCCCTTCAAGCCCAACCTCACCATCAAGTGGTGGCTCTGGCAACCTAATCCAAGCTGTGGGAACCCGTGGTGATGGATGAATGGCACCGAGGTATGGTGCCGCTAACGGGGCCTCTGGGAAACAGGGCGAGATCTCAGAGTAAGTAGCCTTAGTCCTGTGCAGGGAGTACCACAGGGCTGGACCAACCCCTTCCCCCGTCACTCGTAGGAGAAGGAAAACTTTTGGCCTTCTTCGTAGACGAGAACAGGGATCGGAAGAGTAATCTTCAGGAACCTGAACGAAAAGGGTCTTCCAAATTGAAGTGGCCCTTAATAAGCACCATGAGTCGTATATGGTAAAATTGATAACGGCATGAAGGTAAGATACAATGGGCCACTAGGCCTAAGTGTCGTCGGAGACTTCGGTCAGACGAGCCTTCAAACGGGGTGAAGTGTTTAGTGGGTATACCTGGAGTCAGGGGACTCCCACACTATCATATATGGGGGATTGGACCCATATGTTGTCCATAAAGGATTTCAACCACCTCGATGAAAAAAAAAATTGAAAAGAGGAGGAGAGCAGAGAAAGAGTGAAAGAGCAGAGGAAGAGAGGAAGATAAGAGGAAGGGGAATAATAAATGTGTTCTTACCTGCTGCTTGTGGGGCTAAGAGATGGGTCAGTCCGACATCCCACAGAACAAGGCACAAGGGTAAGCAAACCCAAGCCACCCACTTGGAAATTAATCCTTGTGCAAAATCGTTGTACAGCCACATCTGCCCTGAGAAAAATTGAAAGTCTCAATATTCACGCTAGTTTTTATTACATCTCTTGGAGCGGACGAAAGGAAATTCCTATAATATTTGTATTCATCTTCAGGAGGAGATCAAGACTAAAAACCTTATTCTAGAATGCTGCTCATACAGGGTGTCCTAAAATTTAATTATTTTTCGAATATAGAAGATTTGTCCATATTCATATGAAAGTATGATACACAGGCTAATGAATGTCCCTCTTTCAGAGGTTAATTCCAATAAAAAATTCAATATAATTGAATATAAGGATAATGAAAAATAATAGAAACAGTGGATCTTGCCTTTAGGTATATATTGTTCAGACAGGTCGAACGTTCAATCAGCGCATTCATGAACGTATAAGATGATTTTTTTGTAAAAGAAAATAAATTCAACATACGCGAAACATATATCAGAAGAATGCCATAGTTCTTATGATAATTTCGAAATTCTACACGCACAAAATAAAGGAATACAACTCAATCATTTTGAATCATCAAAACATACGCGAAACATATATCAGAAGAATGCCATAGTTCTAATGATAATTTCGAAATTCTACACGTACAAAATAAAGGAATACAAATCATTTTGAATCATCAAAAATCAACAAATGCAAAAATTCCAACATTTTATTCAACGATCAACTGGACCTCAATAAATCACTGATGTTGAATTTGTTTCCTTTAGAATCTTTAATACACTATAAACACTGTTTTAGCACTAACCAAACCGATTTTTCAAACGCATCGACACGTGTTTCGCTAACTATGCTATAGTGGTAAAACAGTGCAGTGTTTTATCGTGCCAAAGGCTCCAGTCTTCGATATATCTGTATTTTAATGTAGATATTGTACCTACTTTCCGAAGATGTAGGATAATCGAACCTTTCCACTGGGGATACCAATGATTTTTCAAAATGACATTATTGTGAACTCTATACTGAAAAACTAACAGCGAATTAATTTTGAATTTTGTCATTCAGGCTAAGACAATGATAAAAATAAATTATGATATGTCCATTTCAAAACACACAATTCCTGCGCCATTCGAAATTTTGTCAATTAATTGGTGTGCCTGGTGCGACGTCTTATTTCCAACACGCCTATTGTCCTTGAACTGACCAATCACACTGTAGCACGACGAGTATCAGAGAGAGATAGCTACAGTTCGGGACTAATACGTCACGACTCCACCATCATATGTGGCTGTTTGAAATATCGAATGAAATATGCTGATTCCAAAACGATATAGATTCGATTCCCTTTCAAGTTTCAATATTATTCACATTACTAGTTTTTGATTTTCCATGCAGGTCCAGTGGAATGTGAGGAGTTCGCACATGTTCAGAATGATGTAGACGACAAATCAAGAGTCCGGGTATCTAGCAGGCTATAGCAGTGGGCTATCTGGCTGACATACGAAATGTCCAGAGAGTTGATTCGATAGAGATATGGACCATTTCTATGGTCCGACTCCGAATTCAAACTCATCTGGGATGGAAAATTGAATGTAGCAAAAATTAAACTCACCTTTGTTGCACATCATGATTCCTTTGTCTATGGTATAACTTATGACGGCTACGGCGATTCCTAAGAATGCAAGAAATACCCAGTCTTCCCCGAGTTTCCCAAATGTTTTGTGCCATACATTCCACAAACGACGAGTGCATTTTCCTGGAAAAATTTCATCTTTCAATCGAATTTTGGCATACTATGAATTCTACCTTGGTATATTTCCAGTTCTTTTTGCCGCTTCTTCTCTTCCTCCTTTAGTTTTTTCAATTCTTCTAGTTTCTTCCTCTTCAACTGTGAATGTATCTTCTCTATCGATACTGTATAGTTATACCTGGTCTACAAATAATGATCAAATGAATAAATAGATGAGTTCCTTATTTCAACCAAAATAATTATACAGGGTGCCCCAGAATTGCTGAGACACAGATCTACCACGTGTAATGAAGGTCAAAATAATTCGATTGGACCCAATTTATTTATATACCTAAATGTATATTTTGGTTCGCTGTTCAAAAATGAGTGAAACAAATTCAATAGACTTTGATGAAGGTGCATTCAAGAAAATTACTTTCCTTTCACTAATCAAAGAAACCCAAAAGAAATTTTGGAAGGATTGAAACTACCTTCACCTCCTGACATTTTCTTCAGGACTTTCTTAAGGGTGGAACTGGTAGAAGTGGAGGCAACTAGTCCCCCAATGTGTGTAATGAGTGATGTGGTTCACTTAAGAGAGCTGGCTAACACCCTTCTCTAGTACCATCCATTAGCTCTCTTTGAGAGTATTTCGGTTGTGTTTTTAAGTATAGTAAATGTCTCACTATCATGTTTTTCTCTGATGCTCACAACCACATCATTTCTTCCTTTTGTTCTGTGTAGGCTTTTTTACTAACGCCATGCGCCACTTTGGGAGCAGCACTGTTAATTGAAAGCAACAGTGAATCATGCAGGACTATCGTTAGCCGATGCTTCGAAACTTCACAATATTTAATTCGTAAATCGAACATACAAATATTTCGTTGCCCAAACTTTAATTTGGACACACCTTACGGGTGGTAATATGGTTCTTGGATTCTTTCAACAGAAAGACAGATTAATTGAATGCATTTGGCACCCTTGTGAGAGCTTCGTACTCCCCATATTTCCGAAGGAAAATATTCATTTGTTGTACTAGGCAGCAAAGTAGTGGATTGACTGCTGCGGCTGATAGTTAGTAGTTATTCTGCCTCTCCAGTCCTCCTCTCCACCTTTCCCCAAACCACGTGACCCGACTAGCTAATCAGAGGCCGGCATTTGGTTGGAGGTCACGCCTACTAACACTTCCGTGGCGTTTCCGTGACCTTTCCGTGACATCTTCGTGTTGTTTCCTGACATTTCCGCGGTGTTCCATGATGCGGTTAGTGGGAGTGACCTCCAACGGAATGCTGGCCTCTGATTGGCTAGTCGGGTCACGTGGTTTGGGGAAAGGTGGAGAGAGGGGCTGGACTGAAGATGTGGGATATCTACTACAGTTCATTGCCCAGCGTAGCGAGTAGGCAGTCAATCCACATTTGCTGCCGTGTGGAACATATAATTTTTTCTCCAAATGTTATAAAACGAATTTTGTGCAATTTTTTATTGAAATCTTCATCATTTTGTGTTCACCAAATGTCATTGTCAATTGATTATCAATTTCATTCAAATTACTTGGAACGCATAGCCTAGACATGGACAGTAAACATTTATTGCCTGTTAAGTGTCATAGAAAATTCACTTTCTATGCCACTTGGAGAAAAATATGACTTCCTTCGAATGGCATCAAAAATAGCTTTTCCATAACACTCAACAGGCAGAAACTTTCTTTTCCAAGACAAAGGAAGTTTTTTGGTATACAACGTCCCAAGTAATGAATTGAATCAAATTGGTAATCAAAATTGACAATGCCATTGGGTGAACACACAATGGTGAATTATTCGAACTTTGCGTGAGATTGGATCGAATTCGGAGAAAAAAGTATAACGGCAGAATAGCAGATTCAATGCTTTGGTTGGTTTTCTAGCCTCGGCTACGAAACGCCAGCCGCTGCATTAAATCTTCTCCTCATCTGTCTAGTTAAACAATAGTAGATTGTTTTATTAGGATCAAAAGTGATAATTTGCGAGTCAAACAAGGTCACTTTTGATTCGAATGAAACATGCAATGTTTTCTTCAATCTGAAGAATTAACTAAAAAAAATATGTGAAGTAACCACCAATGCCGTGCCATAATTATGTATGTAATGCAACAAATAATCCGTGTGGTGAGAATATTCTACCTGCATTAACAGATCAGGTTCATTTAAACTTTCAAGGATGTTCAAATTGTAGTTTCGATATAAATACGACCACAGAGTGACCCATTTGTGTATGGAATAGGTGTCAGCCCTAATAGCAAATACCGCGCCAGTGCCAGGTATAAAATGTTAGGTTAGTGAGCATATCGACAATAAAAATACCGATTATTTATTCCTTTTCATACCTCACTGTCTTCGGCTTGGTAATCAAATGGAAGTAAACAATATCGCTGTGTGGGACAAAAAAGTATGGCTGGCCGTGATTATTCAAAAACAAGTTATTAATTCCGAGAATAACGAATGGAATACAGATCAAGCAAGTATGTGAATCTTGAAGGCTTTCCTAATCAAAACAAAAATACTCAACTATAATATGGTGTATTTATATCTTCAGCATGGGTATGAAATGTCAAATCTGCCGAAATCGGAAACAAATCAGGTGTGCGTCCTAACCCGAATAACCAACCGTAACAATGTTGTTTCTTCTTGGTGACCTCTAGTACGTCCATTTTAGTTCCTGGGAACTATAGTTCAACTTTAGCTCCTAGGAACTAAAAGTGTTGCCTAGCAACATAATTATGTTTGTGTCAGTAAGAAACGTCAAGTCAAGAGCTGATTCTGGTATTGAAATGGTCGACTTTTGTGGCGGTTTATGAAAATAGTTATTTGTTTCACTAGGCAACAAAGTAGTAGATTGACATCCGCGGCTGATAGTTCATAGTCGAGCGTATAGCGAGGCTAGGAATTCAGTCAAGACATTAAATCTACTTTTGCCCTGTGAAACATAAGATTGTTTCTTCAAATGTTTTTTTGTATACTTTTTTTTCAAACTCCATCATTTTGTGTTCACTCAATGTCAGTGTCAATTTTGAATACCAATGTAATTCAAATTACTTGAAACGTTGCATAGCAACAAACTTTTTCTGCCCAGGCAGAGAAAGTACACCTCTGCTGCCTTTTGAGTGTCATAGAAAAACCACTTTCTATGCCGTTTGGAGGAACAGATATTCCCAGTACAATTTAGTTGAGAGTGAAAACAAAGCAGAACGTTTTAAATGAAAATTTTCAATATGACGGCCACCTTCATCAATACAAAGGTCTATTCGACGTACAAATGGAAATACACCTGTTTTTTGTATAAACTCAATACGCTTCTCACAGATAAATGGTACATTTTGGTGCTATTACAGCAATTTTCGTACACCCTGTATTTCCATATGGTTGTTGAGGTGTCTTTGCAACCAATCGGCACATACACGTTAATTCAATGTTTAATCAATATTGAATCGGTGCAAATTATTCGTTTCTGGTTGATTTTTTTCACGTTGTCAGTTTAATTATGGTAAATTTTTTTATATCTTGGAGCACATAATAATATGAAAGGAATCCCTATAATAATTGAGGAACATCGTGAGCACCTAAGGAGGAGAGAGAGTGGAGGTAGGTGTATCGGAATTTCTTTTTATCCTTTGGAGGTTATACTTCTATTGGCAGAGAATTCCAAAGTTTTGCCGTTCTACAGACGAACGAGTTTTGGTAAAGCCTTGTTCGGCATATCTCAAGGTCGAAAACGGAAGGATGTGCTGATTGGGCTTGTCTAGTTCGTCTGACTGGTATTGCTAGTGATGGAATGATAGCAGAAATATCTGGAGAACATTTCCCGCGGAAGAATCTGTAGAAAAGTGAAAGGTCGCCGACCTTCCTACGGTGTTCTAATGAAGTCGAATGATTAGTAACTGTGGCATCACCTACCAGGCGAATGATCCTTCTCATGATGTAAATCTGAGAGCATTTCAGCGTAGGTTTGGGTGCTGAACCACATGTATAGGAACAGTATTCCTCAACACGTCGTATCTGTGCTTTGTGGATCATGAGAAGCTGGTGTAAAGTAGATTGGCACGGAATGAAAATCCAAGTTTTTGTGAAGCAGCTTTCGCAATGGATCGGATATGATTTACCCATGAAAGAGTATTCCTGATAGAAATACCAAGCATGTATATAGCGGACTTAGTGGGTATGGCGGTATATACCTTAGACATTGTTACATCAGGCGTACTGAGTTCCACATGAGAGAAAATACAAGCTTGAATTTTGGTGGCGTCCAATTCAACTGAGTTGTTGGTTAACCAAGCTGTATTTCCTGCAAGATCTCCATTGACAGCATTGATCTGCCATCGTCGTAAATTCTTAGTTTCCTGGGAAGAAATGGAAATTCTAGAAGAGAACGCAGTATGGAGAGTACCTACTATTATCTGCAGAAGCTGTGGATAGGGCGAGTGGTTGCTCCAAACAGATCATTGATATGAAGTTGGAACAATGTTGGTCCCAAAATTGATCCTTGTGGAACGCCGGAATTGATGGCAATGGTATCAGACGATTCTCCGTACACCATACCACATGGAGCGTTCTGCCAGAAAAGAGACTCGATAAAATATGGCAATGCTGAGGTGGTAAGCCGTATGATGGTAGCTTGTGGAGGACTCCTTGGTGCCAAACACTGTCGAATGTCTCCGATATATCAGTCTTGTATGTATGTGTATGTTAATAATTATTATTATTCACGTTATTATTATTATTAACATTATTATCATCAATACTATTAACTTTATTTATAATTTGAAAAGTAAAATCCCACGTAAAACTTCGGTTTTTGTGGGCTATCTATGTTTATTTATTCATTCATCACATTCAATTTATTAGGTGGATAGGTATTATATAATATAACATAATTTTTAACACATTTTGATCTCACAAACTCACTGAAGATTGTGGGCAGGAGTACCACGTGCAACTTCGGTTTTCGTGGTTCACTTTACCTCAATTTTTCAGTGATAGATCTCTACGTTATTATTATATTTGATCAATGTACCTACCTATTGTTGCTGCCGAACTATTTTTCTTGGTAAATAAACATTATTATTCCTATATTATATATGGGTGACGTGGATAAACAATTATACAGGGTGGGTCACGGTCGATGACACCTTAGACGTTTACGGAGAACGGGACATAAGATCATTCTGAAAATTTGGTTACTCAAGTAATTGCTCTTGATCTATCGATCTAAAATATTTTCAGCTCTGCGGCGTTGCCGCTTCTATCGAAAAGTAGCAACAACTTTGATATTTTGAATGGAACACCCTGTATTTTATCGCATTTTCAGATTCTCTCTGAAGAGCTGATTTCATCGATGTATCACACTTGGGGTCTAGCGGAAATGATTACAGAGATATAGGGTGTGAAAAATCGACATTTTTCAACTTTAGGAATTTTTTTTGTCGAAACTATTCATTATTGGTCAAAACGGCTCACATGTCCCTATCCCAACTTTTGATCAACTATCTACTGACATTTAATTGAAACAAATACAGGGTGGTGCAGAATTCAGATTCTTGATCACCCGGTATATGTCCCAATTAAATATCAGTAGATAGTTAATCAAAAGTTGAGATAGGGACATGTGAGCCGTTTTGACCAATAATGAATAGTTTCGACAAAAAAAATTCCTTAAGTTGAAAAATGTCGATTTTTCACACCCTATATCTCTGCAATCATTTCCGCTAGACCCCAAGTGTGATATATCGATGAAATCAGATCTCCAGAGAAAATCTGAAGATGCAATAAAATACAGGGTGTTCCATTTAAAATAACAAAGTTGTTGCACACTGAGAAAAAAATCGAATAGCGGTTATTAAAAATGGAATAACCTTCATAAAAAAATTGAATTAAATAGGGGACAGCCTAGCTGTCTTATAGAGGCTATTCAATTCATTTTGCTATGACGACCCAATAACAGTTACTAGATAATTTAATGAAGCATGACATGAAGGATCCACCGTGAACGAATTACGGTCATTCGTCAATGTGTATTACTATAATTGAAGAGTATAATCGCTGTTATTATCCAGAACCTATAACAGGCATTAAACCTCTGTATCGAAATAATTAATGACTCTAGTTATTTCAAATTGATAATCGAATATTATTTTCCAAATAATTTTCCAGAATAGAAAAAATCTATTTAGCACTTTTCATTTTTGGAGCTCTGTCAGTGTGAATTACATCCACATAAAAATCTTTCGAAATACTCTTGGAAACGAAGTAGAGAAAATAATATGTTGAGAATACACTATTTTTCACCCATTAAGGAACTTTCAATGTTTGAAAAATTTCACTTTTTCAATATATTCATTTCCGATTATTTTTTTCCTCATGATGAACTTTCCACTGAATATAAGCTTCGGAAATTGAATGTGCCAAATAGATTTTTTCTATTCTGGACAATGATTTGGAAAAAAAATATTATCGACTTGAATCAACTAGAGTAATTAATCATACCAATACAGAGGTTTTATGCCAAAAGATCTTTTTTTCTATTTATTTTATATAATCATTTGATGAAGAATTATTTGATTATCGATCTCACCTATACCTAGCGTATAAGCAAAGATAAATTGGTGCAACAAAAATATAAATGCTGTCATGAAGTTGGAGAAGAACTGCCCTGAACTAAACTCTGTTGATGGTAGGAAATGAGAAAATGGAACTTTAGAAAAAACAAGTTTAATAATGAACAAAAAAAATTAAATATGCCTTACGTTAAGATAAGTGGTTGAAAATTAAATAACTCCAACATTTCAAATCAAATTATCACTCCTAAATGTCTCGGTCAATCCCAGTTTTTGCACACTTCTAACCATCAGTTTTTCAAAACCTCACTCGATCACAACTCAGAATCATAACTATCAACCGTATTTAACAAAGGAAATGCACGAAGCACGAACAAAGGAAATGCACGAAGCACGAGTTTACCGACCGACTAGGCCGACCTAAGTCTGATAACTGACGAGGGGGTGTGTCAATGTGTCGGAAAAATTCTTGTTCGTATGTACCCGAGGACATTCGTCAACGATCGTCATTAGATTTTCCTATGATGGTAATTCGATAACAAGTAATGGTGATATGATTAAAATTCACTCGTCTGCGTTAATTATCATAGGTTTAGACATTAATTGTCATTACAAGAAGTCCAATGAAGTTAATTGAAGTACTCCCAATAACACGTCTCTAGTTATGGTTATTAGTCCTTGGTGCTATTTTTATACGTAACATGAGTGAATATGATTAGGAATTGAATTACAGTCATTAACTCAGACATAACAAGAAAATTTAATGAGTGCTTTTTCCTCAGTGCAGAGCTGAAAATATTTTAGATCGATAGATCAAGAGCAATTACTTGAGTAACCAAATTTTCAGAATGATCTTATGTCCCGTTCTCCGTAAACGTCTAAGTTGCCATTTACCGTGACCCACCCTGTATAGTTGATTTTCGGTGGCGAAAGCCATATTGTCTATCATTTATGATTATAATTGCATGATGATTATAACTCATTATTGTCAATCATTATAATTATAATTATTAGTACCTATCACGCTCTTTATCCCTTTCATTTCTGACAGTAGAAATCAAATAAAAAGCCTTAGAGGAGATTTTTTTCCATTCCAAATCATTTGAACTATCTGAAAATATATACATAATAACATAATAACATAATGCTTCGTTTTCGAGATACAGAGTATGAATATTTCCATAAAATAGTTATTTGTTTAACTGGGCAGTCAATCTACTTTGCTGCCGAGTTGAACATATAATTTTTTCTCCGATGTTCATAATGATATAGGAGGATATTGTATTTGCAAATTATCACGATTCCCACAATCTCTTCATTTTTCCTGTATTGTTTAGTTAAAATAAAATTTGATAGAAATCGCAGTTGTTGGAATGGTTGGTTGCTATGGAAATGTCCATAATAATTATAGTTTGACAATTTAAGAAATTTCTGACAGTTGTACGAAAAAATATCGGTATATTTAAATTATTATATAATGGACAGTGAAAGCGACCTGGAAGTACTTACTCCTCCAGAAATAAGGGAGGTGGCAAAAAATATAGAGTTGAATTTATTGCCGGAGAAGTCTCGGATGAAATATGAAGGAAATTATAAACGATTTATGGATTATTGCATGGAGAAAAATGTTAAAAGTGTTATGTAATAATTGCTAATGAATGTTTACGTCAAATGTTTTATTCCCATTGAGTGTAATCACTTTGCTGCCTAGGCAGGAAAAGTAATACTTTGCTGATTGATATGTGTGTCAGCAAAATCAATATTTGCTGCCAATCGGAGAAAAAATCTATTTTCTATTCATTTCTCAATTGTCTAACATAGATTTCAATAAAACGTTAAGTTTTGTTAATAGTTAGTTAATTGTACGTAACTGGTTTTTCTGACTTTCATATTTTTATTAGATTGAAAAATTGAAATATCAACTTTTTTATCCTCTGTGTTTCTTTAATCTCGCTTAGTATTCAAGGAAACAATAAAAAATCGACTTGACTCCAAATTTCAATGTAGGTGCTCTCAAAACATTCATTGAGATTACTCAATAACCTCAATAAGAATCATTTCAAAAATTTGAGACTTTTTTAGTCTCCAACCATTCTGAATTTCGGCACCATGAAAGCTAATATAGGAGCGTTATAAATAAAAACAATTGATACATCCAACTTCAAAATGCTGTGAATCAAACACATGTTTATATGAACTTCATCTCCTAAAATATCACAAGGAATCACCTCCTGAAGTTTGTTGCAGTTCTCCACAAACACCCTGTATATCAGATGATAAATATCTTGAGCGCAGTATTTTTGGAAAGCTCTTTGAAGTTCATACACTTCTTGCTGATCCCCATATAATTTTTCAGATAGTGGGAATGTATCTGTCAAATCGAGGAGGACAAAGCTTCCCTTGTATGAGGCTATTTTTCTTTTTTTTCTACTGTCAAAAATGAAAAAGTTACAAGGTACTTCATAACGTGCCTCTCGGTACATATTATTTGAGCAAGTAAAGTGCTTATCAAATCATTCAATCATTCAGTTATTTTTTATATTTTGAAATCAGAAAGAAATATCATCGTTTTTTATTAGGACAGCATGCACATAATAAATTATCATAAATTGAAGCCGATGCGAATATTCCTACATTCATATTATCTTCAAAACATCATTAAACAATAAAAACACTGTCTTTTAATCAGAGGTACTTCAAGCTTCTGAAACAAATTCGATATCGATATTGTTCACGTTTTTTCGTTTTCTCTTGTTTCTTGGTGATTTTTTCAGGGAAAAAACTATTCTCACCTGTACTGGCGAATACCTTGAGTCGTATAATTGACCGACGGGCAGATTTGACCGCTTGAAACTCATTTTATTTGGTTCTTCGGTCAAAAAATTCACTCGTGAAAAATCACCAATCGCATATATCAACGAACTAAAGTCGAAATTTTGTCACAGACTATTGGATGCCAATTAGCACACGCAATTCAGATGCAAACAGAATATTAAAACAATATTTGCTAACAATAAAAGCATATTGCTCTTGTAAGGCATGGCTTGTGTTTTTCTTTTTTATTATAATAGAGCAAGGATGCGGATGAACAAATTTGGTTATTCTATTAGCAAATAAAATGTAATGGTGACGGTTTCTTTTGTTTTTCTCAGAGAATATACAGAGTGGTTCATTGATTTCGGGCACAAAAAAAAATCTAGCAAAAAAAAATGCTTCATTTCAAGCATATGGTTTGTTTATACACTATGCTCAAGACAAGGAGGGCCCTGCTATTTTGATATCAGATACGAAAAGCCCTTTCCATGCTGATTTTGACGATATGCTACATAATGTGGTTTTGATGCGTGTTTATCTTATTTTAGCCTTCATCAAGTATAATTCTTCTATGGAAAAAGGTACATTCATCAAAATGAACATTCAAACACGCTATATCATCATCAAGACGCATTTTAGAATAAGTGAATAACAGTAGAGGAATAAACATATGCACATATCTTTGAAATTCAGAACTATTAGATACGAAACTAATCTGTGGTAAAAGTCCAATGTATTTCTAAGTGGAGTGGTTAGTTACCAGGGATCAAAACACAAAGTCGTCTCCGAAATTTTTAATAGTGATCAAATCACTTAAATGTTTATTGTCATCTGCTTATTTGTTCCAGGTTATCTGGTATCCATTCATGTGACGTCCTCTGGTCGATTGTGAATCGTAGTACGTCCTTGTTCTGTGGACCTCTGGAGCTATTGCGGCTGTCAATCCCTGACAGCTGTCTTGTCTTGCTGGCTGTCATGTAAGCTGTCGAGTCATGACTCTCATGTCATCTGTCAGATTGTCGCTGGTCATATGTCACGTCATGTCGTTCTGACATGGTGTCACTTGCTAACCTTGCAGGATCTTTCCATTGCCACATGAGCTTGCTTGCATAGCATGGTTTGGTGCTGTTCTGCCTTGTGATGCGTCAAAACTTTTTTTGTAACCAAAAAATCAAATTCAAATATTTTCAAATGAACTGCTATACTCCTTTCACCATATTGTTGATCACGTAAATTAAGTATTCTTTCTTTTTCCTCACCATGTAGGTTACCCTATACTTTCGAGTATTCAATACTTTTTAACTTTATATATTGTTGTAGAATTCTAACTTTGCTGAATATGAGCCTATATAGTGAAGACTATTTTGTGTTTTGATCCATGGTAGATACGAAACTGATGGAAATAATAATTCTTTCTGGCTAAATGATACGACGAACATTGGATTTTATCTATTGAACACACACGACAAGAATTTGAAAATAAAATCTTCTGAAGTTGGGAATTCGCATTCTCCTTCAGATGAAAATGGGTATGCTCATAATATCATTCTGAATATTTAACAGAAAATAACTACTTTCCAGAAGGAGAACATGGCAACAAAAATCCTTTGAAATTGAAAATTTACATTCTTCTTCAAATCGGATGAATAAAATAATGTATAATGATATAAAAATATATCCCACCAATATAATCAGTATTGAATTAAAAATTGAAATGTATAGGAGGAGTATACGTCATGTATAATTCTGATCTTGAGGAGCTTGGAACTTCAAAAAATCATTCGTATCAGTGATATGGGAATATTATCTCTCACAAACAGGAAATATAACTGCATTTGATTGAAGTTATTTCGGGTATCATCCCAGCGAGCACAAACATCCCTGGGATGTTTTGGGATGTTTTGAAAAATGTTGGCATGAAGATGTTATTTTGAAACGTAATATGCACTGACTGAAGGATATTGAAGTATTAATTTTGTTCTTCTGTGGCATTTCTTTGTTTGCCTACTGAGAGGTATCCCTGGGATGTTTTGGGATGTTTTAGAAATGTACGCATGAGGATGTTTTTTTTTTGAGGCGTAATATACACTTCCCAAAGAGGTCTTAGAAGGATATTGAAAGTATTGTTTTTGTTCTTTTGTGCCCTTTCTTTGTTTGCCCCACCACAACGTCTCATGCTTACGTCACAATACGATGAATTCTGATTTGTTTTCGATTTTGTTCTTCTTGTTCGCAATTGGCATTTGCGTTTGCAGCGTGTCACGTTTACATCACGCTGCTAACGAACAGAAAGGAATTTGGTGAAGTTTATTGTGTTAGAAGACTTATTTAGTTTGTAATAATGACCATCAGATGCAAGATGTGTTGTTCGGTGCCTCAGTGTAAGCAATATATGAAAGTACGAATTCATCAATACACAGCTTCTCCGCAGTTGCAAAATTATGCATTGTGGAGAACATTTCAAAAATTGGGAAACCTATTTCCAATTATATGTCTGTGTGTAGTAAGCACTACTCAGAAACCGATTAAGACGGTAATTTCATATCAAGAAAATATTTTTAAGTTCAATCTATTTTTAATGCATTTTTTCATTCAAGGGAAATGGAATCCTAATGCAAAAGTTCATTTTGACAAAAGGCTTCAGAAAACTACCTCGAAAATGTTTTTTTTACAGCGATTTAATGTGCGCAAGACGCGTTGAAAATGTTCTGTTGTGTCCATGAAAAGGCTTCAAAAAGAACTAGTGAGAAGGTAGTTTTGTGACATATCAAGGACATTTCGATAATTGCCGCCTACGGCGGACATTGGTTGTTCTATAATAGTTCTATTCATGTGTGAACAGAACATCGCAGTGGAGGTTCAATGTCTCGAAATCTCGTACTTTCAACATCTCTGAGATGTTTTTGTGCTCGCTGGGATACTCTCATCGGTAACCTGAAGTCCAGTTATATATTTCAACCATCCTTCATGACATACACAATCTTCATCCCTGTTTAGTATAACTAAAACTATTACGAACTGACATCTGAGAATTATTTGTTGACATTCAAATGCTGTCATTTGGGTGCTTCTGTTTTTGGATGTATTACAAATTGATATTCATCATACAGGACTTGGAAACTAATTCTGAATTGAGAAAACCCAATCACGAATCTACGTTCAGAATGGTTCAGAGGCAGGCCCGGATCAGCCGCTATTTACGTCCCAGGCCAAAGTTCTAAATTACTAGAACCTCGTTTCAGAGCTTCTTTGGGGTTATCTGAGCTATTAACACAGTCTCATTTTTAGTCCAGTTGAATACATTTTCAACTATATAAATAGAAAAATCTTCAAAATTAATGAAAAGCATATATTTGCAATTCAAGTGAGCAGATAACAGGAACGAAAAGAAAACATATTGCAAAAAAATGGTGAGATGACAATCTACGGCAGTCACGTGATCGTCTTCGTCAGGTGACGTCGGATTTTCCCATATACTGCGTCCTCCGCAAACGTGCGCCCTAGGCCACGGCCTAGGTTGGCCTTATGCGTAGTCCGGGCCTGTTCAGAGGTCTATAAAATAACAAGTTTCCATCGTTTATTGACCCCTAATCGCAGATTCGTGATTGGGTATGATGGATATCGATTCGTCATACATCCAAAAATCATAAGATATGTTCAAAAAGATTGCCATCGTTTTCTAAGCATGCAAAACATCTTCTTACTGTTGAATTCAGAACATTATCCAGCAATTCTGGCGTTATACTCTGAAATGCTCCAAGGACCAGTATTCTGAGTTATTTTTCTGTTTCTAAGGCTCGCTCATAAACATAGTTTTGTAACGAAGTTACTATAATTTGGGAATTGTAGATGAGACATACGGTATAGGTAATGAGAGTAAAATCGAACTCAGGTGAAAAGTAAGCTATCGGCTCCGTTCTTTTTCATAAGTACTATCAACAATACACCAGGAATATTACTGCATTAAGCGAATGCAGTTTCGATTAGGTAAAACGAGATTCGATAATCTACTAGGCGTTGCATTTTAATCAAATCAGTATATCATCCGAGTGTTCGTACAGCGGGCGCGATAGCAGACCGCGCTCCCCACTCTCAGAGAAGAGTAGTGGGAATCTCCGCTCGCGAGGCGACGAGTTTCAGATAGAAATTAAAAAGAAGAGTTTAGCTTGTGCGCTCAGCCGGCTAAGCTCGAAGATCCGGACCAGCTACCAGCGAGCCAGCCCCACCAAGGAGAAGCCCGAAGCCAGCCGACCAGAAGACTGTACCTAGACCGAAGATCGTGCCGGGACCGTAATAGCGGGACAGTCCGCCTAGAGAAGTCGTCCGAGGTGTCACGCCGAACCAGGCTAAATAGGAGCGTAAGGGAATTTTGTAACCTATTAATTTGTTTTATTACAGCTGGGAATCCTGAAAGGGAACTAAGTGTGTGTTCACCTGTTCCCGACTAAGGAGTTCTTTTCCAGTGCACGATAGATGACGTGCGTGCACTGTCTAACGATCTAAGAGTGTCGTATCACCTGATCGTTAGATTTATCGGGTGTTAGAGTATTAAAGCGATCTAAGAGTGCCGTATCACCTGATCGTTATTTTTCGGATGTTAGGATATTTTCCAGTGCACGATAGATGACGTGCGTGCACTGTCTAACGATCTAAGAGTGCCGTATCACCTGATCGTTGGATTTATCGGGTGTTAGAGTATTGAAAACGATCTAAGAGTGACGTATCACCTGATCATTACCTTTAGGCTGTGTATATATGTTGCATTTAGAGCTTGTTGCTAGTTTTGCTTTGAGCGTGGATTTTTGCAATATGGTTTGGGTATTGCTTACGTGCTTTGATATGGGCTTTAGTTTTAATGAGCTTTATGCATGGCAAGTGTGAACCACGTTGAGTATTTACTTCGAAAGCCGTATGTCTCAGTAGGAGGGAATCATAGCATTTTAAGTCAGTGCTTCAAGTAGGCACATGTACATATTTAGTCACTAGTAGTTTCCTGTTGTAAATATTAATTAAATAAAGCTGTATATATTAATTGACTTTTCTTTCTATATATTAGTTTTGGGACACCTCTTCATCCGGGAGTAAATTCTATCAAGTCTCAAGTCACTTTGACAGTTGTATTCATCAGACCCCTGGATTAAACTTTCTCCACTGAAAGTTACCTGGTGCAAGTGGACCTACCACTATAAAATAGGTGGCGCCCGAGTATATTAGTTGAAAACCCGAGTGACAGCGCTAAATAACCAATCTCAGAGTAAATAACCTTACAAATTTGGCGCCCGAGCAGGGACCGAGTTAAACCGAGTTGAACCAAGTTAAACCGAGTTGAACCGAGTTGAACCGAGTTGAACCGAGTTAAACCGAGTTA